TCCTTCCAACGCTCTTCCATTATTATTACCCTACATCACAGTAAGTAAATTGATGACGCGTCGCGGCTCCCTGCCATGCATTGTTAATGTGTCGGCGGTCTCCAATCACGTAAAAGAAGTAGTGAACTTCGGTGCACTCACCTTTTTTTTTTGCATTCAATACATCCAACTCTAATACTATGTTCATGAAGGAAGGGAGGAAAAGGAGGGGAGGGTAGGAAAATTTGGAGGGGAGGTTAAATTTGGAAGGGAGGGAAATTAGAGGGAATTGGAAAGAAAATGTTGTTTAATGGAGGAAAGTGGAAGGGAAAGTGGGAGGGAAAAAGTAGATTGGGAATTGTGATATGTATTATATTTTAGGACTTTGCTACGGTGACATGCATGTCACGGTGACATGCACTTTTCGGTCGACCTAATCAGTTGTTTCAGTGTACAAACAGTTTCATGGTGCCTACTTTGGAGATTCATATCTTACAATTGGCTAGATGGAAATTGGAGATTAAATGCTTGTTTTGAAGCTGAAGTGTCCCTCTACACATTAAAGTACTTGGGAGCTCAATAGAAAGTCCAGAAGACCATTTTTGAACCTGACCAAAAGGCTATGCCAAAACTGGGAAACTGCCTGAAAATGGCTAAGTCTGGCAACGTGTTTGTCAAGCCTACTTTGGAGCTCAATTTGACAAGCATGGATGCGAGTCAAGTCCAGGGGCCTTTACCACGTTAAATTACGTATTTTTTTATACAAAGGCAAGGCATTGAATGAAAGATTTAATATCTTTAAGGCTTCAAACAAAAGGCTCGAAGTTGCTACGAAGGCTGTTTTTCTGGCAACTTGCTTGTGCTCGAAGTCTGCCAGAAAAACAGCCTTCGTTGCAACTTTGACCCTTTTGTTTGAAGCATTAAAGATATCCAATCTTTCATCCAATTCCTTGAATTTGTATAAAAACATACCTAATTTAACGTGGTAGAGGCTCCTGGACTCGACTCGCATTCATGCTTCTCGAATTGAGCTAAAAAATAGACTTCACAAACACGTTTCCAGACTTAGCCATTTCTAGGCAGTTTCCCAGTTTTGGCATAGCCTTTTGATGAGGTTAAAAAATGGTCTTCTGGACTTCCTATCGAGCTCTCAATCACTTCAATATGTAGAGGGACACTCCAGCTTCAAAACAAGTCATTAGTCTTCAATTCCCATCTAGCCAATTGTATGATATGAATATCCAAAGTAGGCACCATGAACTGTTTTTACACTGAAACAACATATTAGGTCGACCGGATCCTATATGAGGTCGACCGAATCCTAAATGAGGTCGACCGGATCCTATATGAGGTCGACCGAATTCTATGTGAGGTCGACCTAATCCTAACTGAGGTCGACCGGAAAGTGCAAGTCATCGTGACATGCATGTCACCGTAGGCATACCCTATATTTTATTGATGATAGAATAGTTAAATAATTTAATTATGTGTTTATACTATTTACATTAATTATGTAATGTGGATCAAATTTGTTCTTCTTTGTTAATTTTGTTAACTATGGTTATTTGAATGAAATTTGTCAACCTATTACTAAAATTTTGTTAACTATTTTGGTATTGGGATACCGATACCGTACCGATTTCCACCCCTAGTGACAGGTCAGGTTTTTTTTAATAGTTAAAATTAGCTGATTAGGCACTTTTGTTAGCCACGTCAGAAAAAAACTGACGGTGTTAACGGAGGTTGACGGAAGGTAACGAAGAGTGACCAAACTTGAATTGTTTGATTAATTCGAGTGACTACGAATGGAATTAAATATTTTTAGTGATCAAACATGAACGTTTTTAATAATCTGAGTGACCAACCATGCAATTTACCCTAATTTTTGCTTATTCCTATAATTACCTATAACCCACAGCTTACTTTAATTTTTTATGCTCCCTTTTCTCATTTAATAAAACACAATAAATAATGAAGGTTTTCTGCTATTGGACGTTTTTATATACAACTACCACAATAAATAATGGTGGAAAAAGAGAAGAAAGAAGCTTGAAAAGAGAGCTGACAAAAAAAAACATGCTACAATGAACGTTTTCTCTCCATTTTGGAGGGTTGGGTACAACAGTAACCTTTCTTTTCTTTTCTCTCCCCTTAACACTATTCTACAGGGGCGGAGCCAGGATTTGACCGTCGGGGGGGCCGAAGTTTAGAAAGTGTAATATGTAGAAGAAAATATATCATAAAATATAATTAATATTTGTATTCATTTATAATTTATTTGTAATATTTGAGATAAAGAAAATGCCAAAACTATTATTAGAAATATAATATAAATTTGAAGAACATAATTAAGCTACTTCAAAATTACATGACTTGTAAAACAAATTACGTTAAAGACAATTAAATATGGTTTTTTTATCACAGTCAGGTAAAACTAAATTAACAAGGTTAAAAAAATTAATATGGTCTTTCTCACGCTCAATTAAGAAGGTTAAAAAATTAATATGGTCTTTGTCACGCTCAATTGAGAAGGTTAAAGACAATTAAATATGGGTTTTTATCACAGTCAGTTAAGAAGGTTAAAATATCAATAACAATTTGTTGCTGCCAACAGGTTTCGAACCAAGACCATGAATGACAATAATCAACTTCTACTCCGCTGGACTACACACAAATCTTATGCTTCATTAATGCACACAGTTTGTATTTATACTAATCTTCATTTTATACGTAATTCTTCAAACCTCGATAGAATTTTGTACGTGATTTCAAAAATCTCGGGGGGGCCGAGGCCCCCCCAAAGTACCACCTAGCTCCGCCCCTGCTATTCTAAACTAAAAAAACAGAGGAAAGTGCCTTGGTATTGCCACTTTCCACCCATTTCTTTCCCTCCCCTCATTTTCCTTCCAGTTAAAGTAGTCATATGTTAGGTCACCCAATTCGTTGGGTTGGGCCTAGCGATCCCGCTCCAGAGCGCCGAAACCGCGATTTTCCCCAAATTCGTTGAAAGTTCGCGAACTTTTATTTCCCAGAGCGCGAATTCTGATTTTTAGAGCGCGTTTTATCCGAATGAGAGCAAAACAATAAATTAAAACAACCAATTTGAGGATGGTAGCTGCCAGAGAGGGTGTAGGAGTCCTCGAACAAAGAACCACCACCTCGTTCATCGCTGGATGGAGATGCATGCATCGAAAAGCCTCCTTGATTCACGAATCTCTCGTCACTTTCGCCGTTAACGAGAATGAAGAATCAGATTTGGAACTTCTTCTCCTCATTTTCGTTCTGCATAGATGGGAAGAGAGTCGAGGGTAGGCAGATGAAGAAGGCAAGAGATGAGATTGGAGCGATTTGGTGCCCTTACTTTGTTTATATTTTGATCGATTCTGGAGGTTGGAAGGTTGGAACGAAGACGGAGGAATGTTGGAAGTTGAGAGAGAAGAGGTTAGAGGGTAAGAGCGGCTAGAAAATAGAGAAAATAGATTAGGGTTAGTCTTTCAGTTGCTAAAATTGGATTATATACCAGCATTTCAATGACTATTTTGCCCTCAATATATCTTTAAAACATCATCTCCTGCCACCTTCCTTTGAAAAATAGAGAAATGCTAAAAAAGAGTGGTATAGTGAATCGAACCCCCTGCTTCATGGTTGAATGAAAGTTCCAATGGACAGTTGGACACGCTTTATCATAAGAAAATTAGTAATTTTTTTTGTTTTAATAACTATAAAAAATAATTATTAATAATATAATATTGACGCTCTGTTCACGCTCTCAAAATGGAATTCCTTAAAACTCGACGCTCTGACGCTCTCGCTCCCGCTCCCGCTCCCGCTCTCGCTCCACGCTTTGGTTACCTAAGTCATATGACATTGAATATTGAACATTAACTGGAAGCATAGTCTATTATGATGACAGAACAAGGGATCCTAACTAATCAATCTATTACCCTAATCTCTAAACCTTCAATTTTTAACACCAACCCTAAATCCCAAATTACGAACCCTAACCCTAGCCATGATTCACTAAATCCTAAATCTTTCAAATCAAAGTAAACTTTGAATGATTTTTTGTAAATCCATGGGGTCTCGTGTCCATCATATCACAATTCACAAGTGATCATTGAATTCATTTTGATATGAATCACCTTCCCGTAATGCACTAGTGTACTGCAATGCACTCACCTCATATATTTATGTTACACCCATAATTCATAATCGTCTGGCAATTCATATCAAAATATTATCATTCATTGCTTTTTTCTACCACTAGAGTCCAGAGACTTCCATCGTGAGGGTTTACAGTAATTTCTCCCCTAGATCAAACAATCAAATCATATTTAATTAGGTAAAAATAATACTAACAATATAGCCACAGTTTTCAGGTTTGTGACAAATATATATATAGCAACAACTATCGAAATACTCAAAAAAATCGGAAGGTGGTGTGACAAATCTAACCATTTCCGTTTGAAACTATTATTATTCGCGATAAACATGACTTACAAGCGCGAGAAGAACGACGTTGGTGTCGACAAATCTTTAACTTTATTATTCGATAACCGAAACTAACGTCAAACTTACTTATTTATAGCGTAGAAAAGCCTAATACGTGCGTAACCTAATCCTGCCGAATACCCTCTCCTACTGATGATCAGCTACCCTAACCCAAATGAAAAACACCCAACCCAAAGATTCAAAACCCAAACCCGCTCGATCAGCATCTATAAATACTGCGTTTTTGAGAGACGTTAGATCACAACACAACACAACTCAACACGTTAGATTACAACGAACGACCGATGGCTTCCTTGTCCACCTTCACCATGATCGCCGTCCCTCCCACTCCCACCGTTCCTGCCTGCAGCCGTAGCACTGCTGCTCTTGCCAGCAAATCATCCAAAATCATCTCCTGCCGCAAATCCGCCGCTCTCATCATCCCTGAGACTAAGGCTCAACCAGTGAACTGGACCGCCGGTGGCGACGCCGGCTTCTACCCAATGATTGATTTGTTCGGCAAGAAGGCTGAACCAGTGAACTGGACCGCCGGTGGCGACGCAGGCTTCTACCCAATGATTGATTTGTTCGGCAAGAAGGCTGAACCAGTGAACTGGACCGCCGGTGGCGACGCCGGCGTCGCCCCAATTATTCAATTCTTCGGCAAGAAGGATGAACCTGTGAACTGGACCGCCGGTGGCGACGCCGGCTTCTACCCAATGATTGATTTGTTCGGCAAGAAGGATGAACCAGTGAACTGTGTCGACGCCGGCTTCTACCCAATGATTGATTTGTTCGGCAAGAAGGCGGAATCAGTGAACTGTGGCGACGCCGGCTTTTACCCAATGATTGATTTGTTCGGCAAGAAGGCTGAACCAGTGAACTGTGGCGACGCCGGCTTCTACCCAATGATTGATTTGTTCGGCAAGAAGGCTGAACCAGTGAACCTGAACGAGGCTGAGTAAAAAGTTCCACATATCATATGGTATCTTCCCTCTTGGTGGATTTGTGTCGTCGGTCCAGTTTATGTTTTCTCAAAGTTATTTCCATGATGTTTTCTCAAAGTTATTTCCATGCACAATATGGGAGTAACGCCTCTATGTTTCCTTTAATGAATTTGTGGTTGAATTATTATTATTATTATTATGATGATGATGGTCAAAATCCATTGTAAGGTTATTAATTAATCAGTAAATAAAGGAATGGAAGAACATTTGTTTGTGTGTGTATGTTATTATGTTAAATAACATATTTTCTTCACGCAGGGCGTTGAATGGTTTTGTCTCTAATACGTACATATACTGTTTGTACGACTCATACTCTAATGAATTTAATAAAATTCATCTAGTTACTGTAGAAGGCATTCGAAAGGGTGACGTGGTTTTCAGCACTACAGTATATCGCAGCATGCGGTCATTTTCTTTATTAATAATTGGTTTGCAATTGCATCACTGTGCTTGCTTTTGTTTGATTTTTATTTGGAAGTGATGAGAGAGAGGTGATGGGGAACGAGAGATCGAGATGCCAGCTCCCACCACCAACAGGAAGAAGTAAATAAAAAGAACGGTGGAATAGTAAGACAATTGGGATCGCAAACCTTTCCTAGGATAATTTCCACTAATTAGAAACTGTTGATTTTCATTTTGAGATTAAATGAGTCTCGTGGTTTGGTTAGAGAATTGCGAATTGAGGTTCACTTATTTAAGATTAAGATATAATATAATGTCTCAAATTCCGGCTAATTCAAGATCTAAATAACAAAATGGGCTGGCTTATGGTAAAATAAGTGTACATCACGCGCGTATGCTAGCTTTAACTACATATATGGATCACAACATTAACAAATCATAGATTACAAAATATTCCAGTACCGAAACCGGATCCAAGGGGAGACGAGGTATCATTAAGGATTGAAAAATTGTACATAAAGCCGTATTGAAAATGTCAGTGATATGGTACTTTATGTTGAAACAACGATTAATTATATTATTATATTATTTGAGATTTAATATTTATAGAACTATATAAAGTGTAAAATCATAGATATATATATAACATACTAATTTAGGACTCAATTTGTCGTTCAAGAGGCTTGAAAATGAAGAAGAGGAGGCGAGATAAAATTAGAAAGTTGTGCTAGATTATCTTAATTCGTGTTACTATATTTTCTCCATAAACATTTTTTCTTTTCCTTTTTTGTGAATTTTTTTTTTACGGAAAGGAGGGAGCGCACCTCCTGTAATTTATTAATTATGCCAAATGGCTAATGTCAATGTACATTTCATACATAATGAATGTGCCTGATAAATATACTCCATGATTACACCAATCTGATATATATATATATATATATATATAGTCAAGCTAGCATACATCCCATTGAGTTTTGCTATTTAGATCATGAATTAACTAGAGTTTGGGGTATGACATTATACCATAATCTCCAATAGGTGAACCCCAGTTCCTAATTTTCTAACTCAAACCATGAAATTCATTAAATATTAAAATGAAAATCAATAATAATTTCGACGAATCAATAAGATTCGTTGGGAAAATGTTTAAAGGCCCCTACCCACTTTCAAATAAAAGTCAAGCAAAGTACAGTTTTTTTTATAGAGTCAAACAAAGTACAGTTATGCAAACTTATTAAAAGAAAATGACTGTACGCTATGACACTATAGCTAGAAGCGCGACTTCCACACCTTGGACAGGTACCAGATATCATTCTGATTTTATTGGTCCATTGTATAGCTAATCACAAAAAAGAAAACTATTACAATCATTCTCTCTAACTCGATATCTCTATATAAAACATGAATTTAATTGAGTTTGGGATAATGATACTATACCTTAACTTCTAATGGATAAATTTCATACCCTAATTCTCTAAACTTAAACCCAAAGTTCAATTTAATGGAACACAATTATTGACTGTTGGGATCGAACCTCATCGTAGTACATCTAACGACCAAGTATCAATTCGGTCCAAGGACAGGACAATCATTGCATTCGGTCTATTTGATCTGGTTTGGTTCAATCCAAATATCAATTCCGTCCATATTGACTTCAGAAAATATAAAATTCATTGGACAATGGACCATACCAGACCTACTCAATTTAGTATAATCCAGTCCAACTATCGGTTTGGTCTGATGCAGTTCAGTACGGACCTGATCATTGCACACTCCTTATCGCGGCAGTTTGTAATAGATATACATGGGGGAGGCAAACCTGTTGGCCGGTGTATGAAAATATATGAGGAGCAACCAAACACTATCACCAATAGGTCTCGAGCTCAACTAACAAAAATAATTTTATTTTATAAATTACCATTTAACTATTAAAGATGTCTGAAAGAAAAGAATAGACCATATCGAGTCGATTGATTATCAATTAACTTGTTTAGAAAAGAAGATCAATTTGAGTTTCACAAGCTCTCACGCCAAACATTACTATTCACTTTTATGATCCATTCAGATTTTGGTTTTGAGTTTTAGTAACTCTGTTCAATCTAATTCATATCCATCAACATAACTAATTACTACAGAATCTCTTGGTTCAACCCTAAACCTCTTCCGAAATCCCACAAATCTCTACTCTCTACCCAAATCCACCGTTACCTTGCCATTCCCATGGATGATTAAACGGCAGCCCCATACCCAAAACGCCACCGTATCCTCCACCACCATCAAAGCCTTGCAGATTCCCCAGCTGATTCGTACTTCCATAATCATAATAATTGTAGCCATAGTTATCTCCAGCTCCTTGCATCTCACATGGCGGCAGTATTCCTTCCTTGGTGTCAAAATTTTGATAACCACCGCCACCATCATCCGCCGCCACCACAACATTCTTCCCTTTATCATCCACCGATAGCCTGGCCCGCGGTTCGGGGCCAGGAGCGGGGGGTGGAACCAGATTGAGAGGTTGTTCCTCGACTTTTACATCGAGATTCCCGTAACACAGTGGTATTATCACTGGTCTTGATTCTGGAAGTACCAGTTTCGAATCTGTAACCGAAGTTGTTGATGGGTCATTTTCAAAGGAATCCCAATTGATGTAGGATATTATGTCGAACTCTTCCGATTGTTCGATGAATGTGTTCGGTGCAGGATTCGAACACGAGGCCTCCTCGTCGTCGCGAGCGGAGCAACTAGTAACCAATGGTGGTGGTTGTTGGGGTTGCGCGGGAGGAGGAGGGGTACTAGAACGACGCCGTTTATTGGAGTCCGGAATTCCCGCCGATTTTTCCTCCTTCTTTCCCGCCAAATAATCAATGTAGAACTGAAGGTCCCTCTTCCTTTTCGCGACGGCGGAACTCCTCGCCGCATCCACAACCGCGTTCACCGACGGCGACCCGTTGTTCCGGAGCAAGCACAGAACCTTGCCGCAGATGTCTTTCTTGCCGGCGGGGTCCTTGCTCAGGCTGAATTCGTGAAGGATCCACTTCCCATTCTCCCCCGCAAAATTAGGGTTTCTGTAATTGAACCTCTTCCGAATCCCGGTGACCCAATTCTCCGCCTTCCACGACGGCGCGTGACGGAGGACGAGTTTGAACCTGGCTCCGGTATCCTCGCCGTGCCAGCTCCCGCCGCTCCTCCCGACCTTCCGCTCGAAGTTCCGGCTGTCGTCGCCGCCGGCCTTCACCTTCTTCCTCAATTCGGCGAAGAAGTAGACGTCGCCGAGCTCGCCGCCGGCGGATTGGAGCCGCCGCCAGACCTCCCACGGCTCCTCGCCGCCGTACAGGTCGTGGCGGCGGACGATCTCGTAGAGGTGCGGCGGAAGTTTCCCCTCGATGTGGTTGTACAGGTAGTATCCGAGCAGCTCTTGGTCGGTGGGCTGGAATTTCGTCCCCGGCGGCAACGGAACTGCCGCCGACGACGATGACGGTATACCGGCGTTCAAATTCATCGCCGTTTTTTCCCCTAATTTTTTCACTCTCTTGACTTCCTTCTGTTTCTTTCTTTCTTTTCCTTCCCGGTCATGAAATCCTGAAGACGGACGAGGCGAGAAGAGGATCTTATTATACAGAGTTTTGCCCGACGGGAGAAGGATTCAGCGGCGGGTAAGGATTCCTGACCGGCCGAGGAGAACTGAAAAAGGTTGGTTGTTTTGAGGCTTGGGCTTAGGGTCTTGGGCCAAAGGCACATAACTGCATCCGCAATTGGGCCTGGAGTTGGACACCAGTGGCCCAAAAGTGAAAGTACGATGGGCTTTCCGCCCGGCCCAGACCGACATCCCTTCTATTTTCTGCTTGTTGGCTCCCCTGCCCATTTCCAGGTCTGGATGAAAAAAGAGAAGGCTTCACGCTTGAAGGATCTTTGTTGCAGCATGGCTTCTGGACGTAAGAGATACATAGCAAACAAGCCAGTCAGTTTTTCTGAACTTTACATCAATGTTGTAGATATAGAGCTTTTTCGTCACCGTATTTTGGAATCTGATTGTGAAAGTCGCAAATGGATGATGATATCTTTCTGCTTAAGAGATTTTCTGTATTCATAGTATCTATAATATGAGAGCAATCCTTCTTTGTTTTTTGTTACAGATAAACTTAAGACTCAGGCCTGGTGCCAAGTGGGTTAATGCTATGGCATTCCAGGAGGAAGTTCAACTAGAAAATAATAGCAGCACAGGGGGTCATTGCCTACATCATAATGTCCTGGTAAAATTAGAACACCAAAAGTGAACTTGTTTTGATTGGGGTTCAAGAAGAAAAGTGTTACATACACAAGTTTGCTTGTACAACCAAACCAAATCTAAACAAGTTTCTCTACTGAATCCCATCGCCTACCTTGCAGACTTCACTAGGACATCGGCGAAATCGGTGTTCTTTCAAAACCAACCCTACAAAGATCTGTGGGAAATCAAACGTACACTCTATATCCTCTAAACCTGCACCACCCCAAGAATAAAGAGAACCAGCAGACCACAATAATGAAAAGGGAAACCCAGGAATCGAAAAACTTTGAATGATGTATGATCTCCACAATAAGACTAACAAGGAACATGTGATCCCAAAAGCTTGTGAAGCTACAGTGCCCCTGTACATCGTTTCGGCATATTCCACTCAACGGTTCATCTTCTTTCATCAAACACAAACATTTTTTCCCCCAGATGCAACCAGCTCTAACGCTCTCCCTTGAAGTTTTCAACAGGGGCTGTATAGTTTGCTGCAAGCTTCAAGGAATATCATATCATGGCAACCAGTAGTGATTCTTTGCCTGGGAAAGAATCTTCATGACCAACACGAGGTCCATGCTCAAATAATAACTCATGGCTCCAACCGTATCGGACAGCACAAAAATATGACCGGCAATCATTTCTGGTGTTTGAATATCTATACTTGGTACTTGGATAGTTTCTCCTTTACTGGGGGCTCCAAAGCAGACATATATTGGTCCCATGCTCCATTCCTAAGCATCTGCAGTTTTCATTGAACAATCAATGTAAACCCATTTATCTAACAGATACTTCAGCTGACAAAGGCGATGGCTCGAAAGCATGAATTCAACATTTTCATTCAATTCAGGAAAGTAAACCTGAAACAGGAAGTGTAAAAAAGGTGTGAAATCAGAGGAAGACTAACCTGTTTGTAACCATGCAACACTTGGCAAACTTCATTGTGTAGATCTTCACTTCTTATTTCCTGTACCACAGTTATGTTGACATGAGAAGACGTTAATTTCATAGCAAACATCAGTTTCCGAAATGCAACACTTACATGCCAACTTGCAATTGCTTTGCACATTAAGACAAGTGAACTTAGAGCTCCTGATGGATTAGCTCTGACCTGGATGTAAAAGGAGAAATACTTTTAAGCAACAAATTCCTGTTTTCCTTCAACAAAGTCGGTCTAGGAAAAAAGACATCATTAGCAAATGAGACCCCTACCATTGCACATAGACCCCGGAAGGCATCTTCCTTCTCAATATCATCACGTATCCTGTCACATATAAAGCCAATAGGTGCTCAGGTTGCAGTGACACAACAAATATCCCCCCACCAAGAAATTCTAATTCCGAAATCAGCCTGCTTACATAGACAGAGCAATGCACCAAGGTTGCATAAAATGCTCCATGTGGGGGGACACTAACTCAGGACAAACCCAAGCAAGTCTTCCAAGGGTGATTGCAGTATTTTCTACAAGTGATTTGTTTAGCTCCTGGTTTGTCATCAAGGAAAAGCAACTCAGATATATGACATTAGCCAGAACAAACATGTAGTGAGATGAAAATTACCTCGGAGTGTTGTAGAATCGGCACCAGGTACGAGATGACATTGACAACAACAGGGGAGACATCCTTTTGAATCTGCAATTTCAAGGGAAACTATATTAATTAATTATCTTCTTGGGAATAATACATTTCATGGTGCAGTTGGGGAACCTACAGGATACAAAGGGAGATACATACCTTAACAGCTAACTCTCCAATAGCCCAACAAGCATTATTAGCTACTGAAAGAGTTTCCTTCAGGTTAGGAGTATTCTGCATGGCGGATCTATCAGGTAAATGTACCATTTGCAGAAAGAAAACTGTTTGGTATTGTAGAAGTTTGTTTTACTAACCAACTGTTTAGCTGCAACATCTAGGAACTCTGGTAAACGAGGATGCAAATGAACAGCACATACCTGAGGAATACCAAAACAAGGAATACAAAATAAAACAAACCTCAAGTCAGAAAGGAAAAGGTATAATAAAGAACTGCAATCTAGCACCTTCTACCAATAGATTTCCATAATCAAAGCTCCTGAATGACACCCACTAACTTTGCAGGGTAGGTAGAAAGAAATGATCAACTTACTCTTGAAAGGTCTCCAAGAAGAGCAAAGGCACTTTGTCTAACATCAGAAGCATCATCCATGCAGCACTGAAGGAGCAGGTCTCTCAAACTACTTTGTGCTACCTGAAGAGGATATAACCAAGAAATTGGATATCAAGATCAGCAGTAAGTTCACATCCATCAAATTTTCAACATTCTCATTCAAGGAGTAAATTGTTGAGTAACATAAGAAGGATATGCTAAAGGAAGAGGATTACCAAACTCTCAATTCCACTACCAAGCCCTTCGGAAAGTCCAGACAGAAGATCCAGCGAGCAGACAATGAACTCCTTATCATAAAGAGCCCCAGCAGAAGATGGATCAACCTGCAATGACATTTCAGGGGGGAAAGGGCGTGTTAAATCACAAGAAACTGCATAACTTAAATGAAACTCATTCGAAGCTAACCTTTGCCAATTGTTGGGTGTGGATTATCTCTATGCACCTTTGGAACACAGGTTGAGCAAACTGAGCGAATCCTGTACTTAGTGCCTGAAAGAGACAAAAACATGTTATTCTCAGTCTTAGACCAGATTCATACAAAAAGTCACCAGATGAGCATTATGAAAGAGCGCAAGAGCCTCTCCTAGCAATACACTTAGGCGTCCAACATTAAGCTAAGAACATGACTTGATCTGAAAGGTTAAACTCTGCTCCTTTTTTATCAACACAGCAAACAAACTAAAACAAATTCTGGTATTCTAGTAGCAAACCAGAGTGGTCCTGCCACTAATAAGCTTAACTGAAAATGTCTTCTAATGATTTACTTACATATCACCCAGATGGTCTTTTATCTCCCAATGATCATAGTAAACCTTCTGCTCTTAGCGGGAAGAAGGATACGGGAAGTATGGACACAAAGGCAAATGAAAAAAAAAAAAAAAAAGCAAACGAACATGGTGGACTTGGCTCTATATTGATGGATAAAACTCATGCTAGAAATCTGAAGGACCAAGTGGAAGGTCTGATTTTTTTTTATTTGGGAAGAAACTAATCTTGGTATCCCACTCAAAAAGAGAGTAATAATCTTCATCAATGCTCGAACATAGTAAGATACCTCTTATAGCATGCACAGACTGTGAAAACAGTTATATGATGCAAACAGAAAACTGAAATCCACACCTGTGCTATGGATGTGAAGCATTCTAACAGAGGGAATAGATCTTTGTCTGTATTTGAGAGTTGCTGCCACTTCGCAATTAATGGAGGCATCAAAATTTCAAGGTACTTTGGCTGCAAATTAACAAGGTCTTTGAATTATTAGATAATCAGTTCCTCAACGATCTAAAAAGATGCAGGCAGGTCCGGAAAAAGTCAGCATACTACTATGTTGAACCTCGAAACTACCTGATTGAGCTCTGCTCCAACAGCATCTGCCAGAGTTCCTATAGCATCATACACAATCCTGAGGTTTCTTCTCTGTACATGCAATATGGGTTTAAAAAGTAAATAGGTGAACTAGAAAACTAAGCTCAATCTGCAACTTCGAATGATGGGAAGATATGCAAAAGGCCGACTGCGGACCTGATATTTTCCAAAAGCACACATGAGGTGCTGCAGAATGACTTCCAAGCGTGGGGCCAATCCCTCAGCAGCCTCCTGGAATGGTAGAACCATTAACACCTAGATATTGAAGAAAGGACAGCACAACAGAAGATAAATGACCATAACAGAAGAACCTCTTCAAGTGTAGCAAAAGCTGAACAAGCAGCCTCTTGGACCCTCTTGTTATTATCCAACACTCTCCGCAGAATACCCATAAGAACCTTGTCAAATTGTTCATAGCCTTTCTCATGGCCACTCTCCTGAAATCGATGGAAAAAACACCTTACATAAAACAATCCAGCTACAACAAGCAAGACCAGAATATGAAGTGAAAAAGCTAGTGAAACAAGTATAACTTCATGGAAAAGAAAGCTGCATAAGTTTAGGGAAAGAAAAGCCGACTGGCCATACCTGGACAATGTATTTGCTGAATCTAGAGAGTGTCCAGCATGATATACTCCGTATGAGGGGGAAATTATCATCCAGAAGAGGGATCAGAAATTCCACCATCTGCAGGTAAAACATATTATAAACTTTTGGACATGGTATACATTGCAAATAGCATGTGTATAACTACCAAAACTACCTAGATATTCGAAATGAACCAGTATTGCTAAACAAACACAGCAATACCTGAGGCAAATGAGGATAAAGACCATTAATGCAACCCTCAGCCACTGCACCGATAGCCAAAACAGCTGCCTCTCTTTCCTTCCAAAATTCGTCACCAGTCGCAGCTAACTTAGACTACAGAGTACAGATATTAGGAAGTCAAAAAATGGCCGTGAGAGTGAAGGCAAACATAACCAGATTACACCAAAAGGATTCTTATAGCCAGTGATCCTAGAAAATCCATGGCAGTCAGACAACCAGAGAACACAGATGATATCACTCCTCAACTTCTTGTTATTCCTACTGAAAAGAAACATAATCTTCATACTTGTGGATCTTCTATGAGTGTTAGACCCATGTCACAATGGGGAAAATAAATCATCCATCTTGATTGCTCTCATGATCAAGATTTCGAGTCAAAGCCTCGGTTGTGATTAAGTGACCCAGTCCCATATTCAGCCATAGTCACTTTGCAGCAGTGCTTTTGATTGAATTTCACTAGAAGCAATCTTATACAAGTGTTTTTCTAGCTCTTTGCAAGGGCATCCAAGTTGTTTGGTTCCATGCTTTTAATCAGAGAAACATAGAAGACTTGCCAGACAATACAAATACAACCACATGCATATCATCCCATTCAAAACCAAATATTCTTCTATCCAAACATATAGTTTCCATGCAGGCAATGTAATCATCGAAAAATAGGGCATGCAAAACTCAATAGAGAATACTCATAAATTCAGGGCATGCAAGTTAAGTTCTGCGCTCTAGCAAGACCAACTTGTGCGGAAAAGCAGTAACCATCTTATCAATAAATTATGTGACTAATCAATTAAGTAACAGACTGTGTTTGTTGCATAGAAACTCTGCAAAAAAAAAAAAGTAGAAACACAAAAATGGACAAAAGATGATACGTGAAGGAATGGAGGACTGAGAAGGAAGAAGAAATTTTAGGAAAAGATTACGAAGTGCAGAACAAAGAAAGATTACCTGAACAACAGGCATCATTGTTGGGAGAATTTCATCACCAAACACATTTGACAGAACATCTAGAGCAGCGGCACTACATTTCCTTAGATTCCACACATTGACTATGTCATCATCCTGCATTTGTAACAAAATTGTTATCTATGAGATTTGTGATGGATTTTCTAGCCTTCCTATGCATGAAGATGACTTAATTGGACACTAGCTACTGAAATGAACAAGCTCGCTAAACCATTCACTTACATCATCTTCTGCATCTTCTGATCCATGAAGTCTTGATGCATGAAAGCGGGGTTTTAGATCCTAAAATGCCAAAAAAAAACACAACTCAATATTGACATATTCACTAATTATGAAAAAATTATGGCAAACTCGAATATCCAGCAAATTATCAGTAAAAGATGATTAACCCTGACCTGCTCCCTGTCTGGAAGAGAATCATCCTCCTGGAACAGCAAGTAAAGCAAGACAGTGTCAGTCTTTAATCACAAACAAGTGGTAAGTGACTATAATTAGCTAGAAAGGCAAATATTGACCTCCGCTTCCGCAAGAGACTCATCATCATCAGCATAAACCATGTTTGATAACAAAACCTGCAATTAGGACCAGATTGATTAGGATAACAAGACACATGCAACCCATGCCTCAAACAGAATACATAATGGCTCCACTAAACAAATAATGAACTGAGCAATCAAAGTCAAGAATCACAAGGAGTACCGGAATCAAACGTGGCAAGAATTCTCTTAAGTTCTCAGATGACAGCTGAGTATCACAATATGCAGACCTGTCAATGATAGCAAAATCAAGATACAAGCAAAACAAAGGAGAAGGTAGAATGAGCATGCAAATATTAATAAAACCAAGACCCAGAACACAATAACTCGAACTAGATAAAAGTATTTTTTTAGATAGAAAGCTGTATATCCAAAACTAAACACACATAAGCAGAGCTTCAGTTACTACACCATAACATATATATACCATGTATCCAAGAACCTCCACCTAAATAAGAAAATGTCAAAAATATCTTGCCCTGGAAGTGAGGGATTACCAAAATTCACAAGCTTCAAGAGCCACTTCTTCATCAGCATCCTTGTTGACTTGCAATATGTACTCCATGACTTGCTTTAAATGTGGCTGAAATCAGAGAATAAGGTCATCAATAAAAAAAGTTGAGGAGGTATCATAGAATGGCTAAGCATAACAGGATTCAAAGCAATGTAAAGCGAGGCAGACAAAAGAGTGATGAAACAAACTACTAACACATATTGCAGGGAACAAACCAAAAAACGATGACAGCACTATCAGCAAACAAATTATCTAGAAGAGTTTACTTGTCTTAAAATACACACCTCGAGGAATGACGGGCGGACCTCAATCAGCTGAACAAAAGCTGCACAAACCTGTCCAAAGGGATGTAATTAACATAAAGCTAGGAAGCAGAGCACATAACGTACAGCAGAAGCATGTCAAATTGCAGAGATTACTAACTTAAATAATTTAGAAGTCAAAGTGACTAATTACTCACCAATTTTCGAACTTCCGGAGCAGGGTCATGAGCAAGAACAAACAAGCCCTGGAGATACTGGTGCATGGATGCATATAGAGCCTGCGCCATAAGGAATGATATAGCGTTACTTGTCCATAAGTGCCCAAATGTCCATGACGATTGCCAAAATAATACAAAAATATAAGGTATACTTACAGCTGGCATCAACATAATGTATTGATTTACGGAACCCAGGGCCAATTTTCTCAAAGAGGTATGTGGTGACTGGAAAAACTGTTCACACCAGAGCCAGTAATGATTAGGAAGGTGAGTTGCAAAGCAAAAACCATGTAAACCTGAGAAACTTCATGTTCACGCCCATGACAGGAGAGTAGTGAGGAAACCTGGTACAGTCGAGGAAGGAAAATCTGGATGGGACGATCAGGTAAGCCAGGCACATCAGCATCCAGTAGCTGAGGAGCATCTTCACAAATCTGTGACACAACCCCAATTTCATGTTGTAAAACCAATACTATTAAACCAATTCAAACAGCAACTATCATGATCTCCTACTGCCTCTTAACTACGAATTTTTCGAATGGCATAAACAGACCCAACAACACAAGGCCCGGGCTACAAGTGGTCATGAGGGGTGTAGCTGGGGAAAAGGAGCTGCATGCATAGGTGGATAGATGAATACTACAGAGAATTGGCTTGATACCCCCCCCCCCCCCCCCGGATCGACGAATTTACCTAAAAGAATTGAATGTTTCAAGAACTTAATGGAAGTATGCTATTTACGTAATGCACAAGCATACACTCTCGTTATATGAACAACAGGTACAGTTTCCAAAAATCTCATTCACCAACTAATGCTACTATTAAATGCCATACCTTAGACAAGGCATCCATCGCACCTTCCATGTGATTCAAGTCATTACTCTCCATGCAAGTAACAAGAGCCTGTAGTAATTCCGGCCATCCCAGTATTCCCCCAAGCTGCACTATTTCAGTAATGATTGTCCCAACAGTTGACCTTATATGCTTATCAGGTGCTCCTAAGCATGGGAGCAACCCTGACCTAATGTATTGTTGACTTTCAGGAGTCATGGACTTGTAAGCCTTTCTGAGGTTGTTCTTCAGTAGTAGACCCGCAGCTTGTCGAATTTCCACTGATGTACCCTGTTCAGGCAAAACCAATATAATATTCAGTTGCCAACATTAGGATGCTGGACATATTTACCAATTATCCTAAGTCGCGTGAAGCAAAGCCATAAACCAATGAAGAATCATCGAATCAATAGGAACCATAAATAGCATTCCAAGTTACTTGGACAAAAGAATTTTCTAATAGTGAGACTATCCAGCAAAGCATCACCAGAATCACTCGCAAACTTGCAAGTCCTAGACCAATAATTCTGATCACATTGCTACACTTTCGTGCTCGAATGAATTTGGTTGCAGCTAGAAAGCCTAATTCAATTGACTTCACAACCGACCTCAGCAACTACAATCCAAACAAATTCTCAAGAGGAAACATCAAATTCCAATCCCTGCCAAATCCTCGCACAATCAACCACCCCACAATTCATAACTCGACATTACACTATCAAACGGAAAAAACAAAACAGGAGGATCATAAACCCTCAGCTTCCCCAGGGCAAGAGAATCAAATACCTCGGCACGGGCGAGAATGAAAGCTAGGTAGTTATTGAAATCGGGGTGCTGGGAGTAGTGTTCCAGCTGCTGCCAAATCTGGGACTTATCAGCTGTTGAAGAAGGTGAAATCTGGAGCTCCAATAACGCGCAGATCTCCTTCACACCACCTTCTTGTGGCTGCCAAGAGGTGGTGGAAGCAGCCGTCGCCGTTGCCGTCGCCGCCATTATGTTTCTCCAAATTACTCGTTCCAACTTTCCCCACAAAGGGTTGTTTCGCGGTACTGGGGAGAGATTGAAAGAAGCAGAAACAGCAGCCGGTAGCCCAAAAGAGCAGAAAAGTCTTTCAGCTCGCTAATGGCGTCTTCCTTCTTCCCTCGGCGTATTATATCGTGGCTATATATACCAAAGCGAGAATACAGACTGTATCAATGCAAAGTTTAGAACTTTGAAACGTTTTGGTATGTAAATTGCAAGGAAAGGAAGGGACAGGACAAGGGCGTTCGAGGGGTGAGGACTTAGGGAAGAAAGCAACAAAGTACACACGCAGAGGCAGAAACCACTTTCTCCTTGGGAATAATTTGGGGTGGGTTTTGCATAAATTTGTAAAAAGCAAAGGTACCCTAGGTTTATCAGGAAATCTGGGTCATGGACTCATGGTAATCATTTGAGGGCTTAGCTTTTGCCATTTCACGTTTTCAAATTGGGTAATCAAATCCACAATTTTACAGCTAGGGTTTTTGGGTTTGCCACAACCCACAATCTTGTAATTTTAATTTGTGCATTGAACTTAAGTAGTACCTCTGTACCTACTCAATAGGATAGTTAATGTAGAAATATTGGATCCACAAGCAAACATAGTGTGATTCGATCTAGTTCAATTTTGAATTAATGTGATTTCTTTTTTAATGAGAATTCATTTTAACCCAATTCGTATGTTGTTTATCTGATTTGACTAGATTTACTCTCCGTTCGTGTAGACCGAATTGCTCACCACTAAATCTCTTATATTTAGGTGCGATGAATGTACCTTTGCATACAATGTGGAAATATGAATAGTGCTTCAAGGTTGGCCTACTATGAATCCTTAGACCTATGATTACCATATCATGGATTTAAATTTCCATGTATCGCGTTACTTACAAACTAACGATTATGGGATATATATACTCGTTAAGAATATGTTAGGCTCAGTATATTTTACAATTAAAACTATGTTTTGACAAACCCAAACAAAGAAAATTAGATAGTTGAAATCATATGAGTATTATTTATTGATACAAAATTATGTTAGGGTTTATCACCTGAGTACAACAATTGTATTTTCCAAGTCTAAACAAACTCTTTTGCTCTAATCAAACATGCTATTTCGAAGAGATCCACCTCCTCTTACTTCCAAGTGAATAAGAACTCCTCATTCTTAATGTTATCCATAAGCACTGGAATAATATGATTAAGAAAATAATGCCCTTTACTACTATCCTTAATACCACACGAGTAATCCAAAATGTCAAGATGAATTTAATAATAAACAATTGCATGGGACACACATAAGAATTATTTAAATCATTGTTTCTCAGCTAATCTTGTACCATGATTTGTCTCAAAGTGGCAACTGATCAACATAGTTTTTTTTATATTTCATACGCGTTAGGAACGAAGGTTCACAACAAAGTGTGTGAAGTAGCTCTTGAAACATTTAGAAAAAAGCCATTTTCAATATGAGCTTGACGATTACATACTCCTGAGAGAAAAACTATTTCAACTTGCAGGATCAAGCACAACTAAGAAAAACTGTGCACCCGTACAAATCTCGTTAGAGGTTGTTCATACTCATCTTTATAGATGAAATGCATCAACCCAAATGGTAACAAAGTTTGAGGAAAGAAGAGACCAGATTGCCATAGTTATTCCCTTCAACTTCACATACATATTATTGGTCAGTTCAGGCCAATAAGTTGCTGCAACTTCAGGTATAAAATTATCACGAAGATCATGTCTAATCGACTAACCCCTCATTTGCCAGGGCTGGTGAATGAATTACAGGCAGCATTTACAGGGGGAAGGCAGATTCAAGATAATATTGTGATCGTTCATGAAATCCTTAACCATCTTAAGAAACACAAGGAAGGGCAACAAAAACACATGATGATGAAATTGGACATGAGGAAAGCCTACGACTTGGTGGAATGGGACTTTCTCATTGAGCTTCTCAAAGCATATGGGTTCAATGACACTTGGTGTGGATGGGTCAGAGCCTGCATCGATTCAGTCAAATTCAGAATCTTGCTCAATGGAAAGCCTTCAGAGGAATTCATCCCTTCCAGCGGCATTCGTCAAGGGGACCCTCTGTCCCCCCTGCTCTTCATTCTGATGTCCAATGCCCTCTCCTTCCTCGTCGAGAAAGCTGTCCATAGAGGAGATATCAGAGGCCTCAAACTCAATAGGGCCTGCCCTACACTCACTCATTGCCTCTTTGCTGATGATACAGTAATTTTTGGAGAAGCCTCAACTTCCGAAGCAGAAAAGATTCTGGGGATTCTCAATGAGTATAGTTCGATAACAGGACAGGAAGTCAATAGAGAGAAGTCATCATTCTTCTTCAGCAGGAATGTGGCTGAGGATGAGAAAGAAAGAATCATTCAGACAGTGGGATTTGCAGAGTCGAACTGCCACTCTAGTTACCTTGGGGTTCCTACTGAATGAGGAAGATCAAAAAAGGAAACATTCCATTTCCTTATTCAAAGAATGGAAAGCAAAGGAGAGTCCTGGAAAAGCCTTCTGCTTTCACCAGGAGGCAAGGATACACTCCTAAAAGCTGTTTTCCAAGCTCTACCGTCCTACGTCATGTGCCTCTTCCTCCTCCCAAAATCTGCAACCAACAAAATGGATTCCATGCTCAAGAATTTCTTCTGGGGAGGAAACATTTCGAAGAGGTCTATACACTGGAGGGCGGGACATGTTTTGTATGCACCAAAGGAAGAGGGAGGGCTAGGGTTCAGACCCTTCCATGCTTTTAACCTCGCCCTTCTTGCGAAACAAGCCTGGCGTGTCTTGACCAACCCTGATGCACTGTGGGTCAAGGTTCTAAAGAGCATTTATTTCCCGAGAACAGACTTCCTGTCAGCAAAGAAGGGAAGCAAAGCCTCCTGGATTTGGGCCAGCATCTGGGAAGCGAAGAGCTGGATGGAGAAGGGAGTGATCCGAGTGATTGGGAATGGAGAAACAACGAAAATGTTCCATGATCCTTGGCGTTTTGATCGCCCAGGGACCCTCACTCCACACAGGGTTGATGATGAGTCAAAGGCAGCTTTGTTCATCAATGCTATCACACGAGAATGGAATTTCGACCTTTTGGGAAGCTTCCTTCACCCCCATGACATCCTCCTCACGGCGGGCACACCTATTGGCCCTGCCACAATGGCAGATTTCTGGGCATGGAGACTCTCGGAACAAGGTCTTTTCACGGTAAAGTCTGCTTTCCATCTCATTCACAACCAGTCACGCAGACGCCAAGGGGAGGTTAACCCTTTCCCGGAAGCAGCAAAAGAAAAATGGAAATGGCTGTGGAACTTACCTCTCCCCCCAAAGTTGAAGTTCTTCGTTTGGAGATGTGCAAAGAACGCAATGGCTTCGAAGGAGAACCTGTTCGTGAGAAAATGTTCCCCATCCAAAGCTTGTCCCCTGTGCAACTTCCCAACAGAATCCATTCACCATTGCATCTTTTCTTGCCCTCACGCGGAGACAGGGTGGAATAACGATTGGCCAGGACTAGGTCTCCCACCGCCCCTCACCAACATCTTGGACTGGTTGTTCTCCCTTCAGTCAAGGCTCTCAGGGGTCTCGATCCAACGTATCATCTTCCAGATGTGGCAAACCTGGAAGGCTAGAAATGATCGGATCTTCTCAGGGATTCTCCCCTGGCCACCCATCACATCATCCAGAGCTCAGATTGCATTTCACCAATGGACAACATGCCCCAAGAAGATTGGAATCCCCCAGCCCCAAACTCAGCACACTCCACCCCCTAATCGTTCCTCTCCACCGCCATGTACTCATGATTTTGAGGTACACTGTGACGGATCATTCTTTGGTGATTCACAGGAGGCGGCTTTTGGCGTCGTTGTGACGAATAGCCACGGACAGGTATGTGATGGGAAGGCTGAGTCCACGCATTGTTTTTCACCACTTGAAGCAGAAGCAAAGGCACTGTGGGAAGGAACGCGCTTGGCCGCGTCAATGGCAGCACCATGTAGGATTCTCAGTGACTGCCTCTCCCTGATCAAGGCACTTTCCAGCAGTCAAAAGAGGTGGCCATGGCGCGCAGCGGTGTGGATTTGTCGCATCAAGAACTTGGCCATCGATCATCCAACTATTAGGTTCGACTATATCAACAGAAAGAGAAATGCCAAAGCGAACTGGGTGGCACGCTCGTGTGCTAAGAATCAACTCCCAGCGGAGTGGATTCATGTCCTTGATGTAATTTCGCCACTTTTGTAACCTACGCTTCTACTGATAGTAATGAAATATCTTTGCCCTTTGTCAAAAAAAAAAAAAACTTCACATACATAGAAGTAAAAACAGAATGGTAAATTTTGTCATTACCAACAAATAAACAAAGCCACCCTAGTTGCTTCTGCACCCCCCACACCTTTGCACAACAATTCATACTCAAATGAGTGGCCATTCCCCCTTTATCTGCTCCATCTCTCTCCCCTGCCAACAACAATGAATAACAATATAATGTGTGCGTGCTCCCCCTGCTCTGCCCTTTTACATATTAAAAATTGATGAACTTTTCAACCTTTTTCACTGCCCATCCATCAACATTCAAATGATAAAGAGTACTATTGGCAGAGAGAGTGGGAGTGGGGAGGAGTGAGAGGCTTTAGTGGTGTCCAGGATAGCCTGCTGCTGTGTGCTCTCTGTAGCTCAATTTGCTTACCATTCTAGCTAGCAGCAGTAACAACATCCACATTCCAACTTTTTCCCTGCACAAAGATTCCAAAACCCTTTTTGAGCAACATCACAGCCTTTCTTTCAAATCCACAGGCTCAATGTTCTTTCACTACTTTAGTACCAAAAGCATGACAACTGAAATGGGGTATGGGAGATTCTTTAAAAACTATTCTAGTACATCATGTCAAGACTCTAACTCAACAGCCATAGCAAGCCATAACCTTCTCATTGGTTGTCTAATAACAAGCATATGTGCAATATTGGGATAACACTATGACCCTCAATATCATGTTGCAGAGCTACTGCCACTATGTGCTAGTCAGGATTATGTAGTGCTATCAGTAAGTCGTAAATCGTACCGAAGAAGTGAACGATGCAGAAAAGAAACCACTTCTTCTGGAGCTCAGTAATCCGGGAGAGAACGAAGAATGCCCTGCATAGCAAACTGTAAGAAAGTGGTTAAGTACCATACACGGACCTGTATAAGATCCAGCATAACCTTCTCCCAACAACTCGAGTTATTGGGACCAACTGGTTTATGACACAAACGGTTTTACAATTCATCAACATAGCACCAGATTGTATGAAAGTTGACAGTTCTCAGAGGAACAGTCAGTTAAGAAGAACAAGAAATGTAGCAGTTCTCTCTATCTCGCATGCCATGATAGGCATCGTTTACAGAGTGATATAGGCTATTGGGAGTGGCTGATCTCTGCTTTGTTGTCCTTAAAAGGGAATCATGAAGCTCAAGCGACATGGGATTCCAGAGAACGACATTGTTCAACAGAGATAGAAAAGCAAAAATACCGATTCTGCATTAACAAATCGAATTGGAATTGGAGAATTGCTAAGAAGGTTATCAATGTGTTTGCCGCTGAAAGTCTTCACATTAAAACCGAATTAAAAAGATAAGCAATTCGACAAGTTTTTATCAAATTCAATTCGATACAAACTTATTATCTAATACACTCTTTGTGTCTCATAAAAGAAAGAAACTAAAAGAACACTAGACAATATCTAGAATACGCCACACCGTCTTGCGTAATCCTCAGCCAGCCGGTCCCTCGCTTCTTCAATCTCGTCGGGGGACATGTACCTCCGCCACAGGGGATCCGCCCTCCTCCGTTCCGCATCCTTGCGGCGGGCTTCCGCCGCTATCCTCCTCCGCTCCGCCTCCTTCCGGCTGGCTTCCGCCGCCATCCTCCTCCGCTCCGCCTCCTTCCGGTGGACTTCTTCCCCCATCTGTCTCCTCCGCTCGGCCTCTTCCTCGTCTCGTCGGATCGCTTCCTCGGACCTCTGTTCCTTCCTCCTCTCTCTTTCCTCCCGAGCCCTCTGTTTTGCTTCCTCCTGCGCCAGCCGCTCTTTCTCAGCGTTCTCCCGAGCTTCCTTTCGCCTTCTCTCCTCCCACTTCCTCGCCTGCTCCATCTCCTCCTTCCGACGGGATTCCTCCTCCTTCTTCTTCCTCCTCTGCTTCATCTTCTCCTCCTCTCGCCGCCGGGCTTTTTCCTCCTTGCTGTTCCTTTTTCTCCTCCCCTGTTTCTTCTCCCCTGTTTCTTCCTGGTCGGGTTCTTCTTCCTCCAGCTGGTTCCCCTGCCGCTGCAGAAGAAATTGGTAAGACGATAGCAGCCTCTGGAACTTTTCTGTGGCGTGCGGATCGTCTGGGTTCTTGTCGGGATGCAATTTCAGGGCTTTGAGCTTGTAGGCTCTGGTGATTTCCTGCTCTGTCGCTGTCTCCCCTGAAGCTAGGCCGAGGACCTTGTAGTGGTCGATTTCTCGGCCCATCATGGCCGGAATTGAATCTCGGAAGCTCTAGCCCTAGAACCCTTGATCAGAATTGAATCTTTTTCCTTTTTCTTTCCACTGTCGTTGTTTCGGATTCGTTCGTTTACTAACTCTGTTTTTATAGGTGAAGCAGCTTTCCTCTCCCTTTCCTTTTCCTTGTGGAATACGGATAACCTTCTCCTACTCGAATTCGGAAAAAAGAAAACCTTCAGACTTGAGAGTTAAAAAGTTGGAACGAACACGACGTCGTCCTTTGCCCTTTCATTTAACGATTAATCCCGCGAGTTTCCACCGCGAAATTGAAAGGGTAAAAAAAAAACGTTTCTCTTCTACTGGCCTCAGATTCGAAGCTTTCTTTCTTCACTCTTACGAGATCTGGGGCTGAATTGAATTCACAACTCGGCAGGAAAAATGGCATCGTAAATTGGAGCTTGATGGTGACTTGACTCCACGGTATCAGAAGATCCGGCGAGTGGGTTTTACGAATGGAGAGCGAGGTGCCTCGGTCGGTGGCTTTTCGCTCGAACCGGAGAGGGGAAAGGAGCAATCAAATCCCTGTTTCCAGAGGTAAAGAAGAAGGAACGAATCTCTCTTAGGTAGTTTCCGTTTGGGAAGGCTATTTCCTTCAATTCGGGAGGAAAAAAGTGTTAGTAACTTTGTTTTTCTTGGTGTTTTGGCGGGGACCCAGATGGCCAAGATGGGTTCTTTTCGTCTGGGAAAGTGCCGGTTGAGTATCCGATCAAGTTGGTGTGGAAGAGAGGGTTTGTTCGGCTGGTGTTCGTAGCAGGGATCGTTTGGATGTTGCTCATTCTCGTTGTACTGCTGTTTCATGTATGGTCTTGCCAATCTTCTTACGTTTTCTTTTCAGGTATTCCATCCATTACCTTTCGTCTCAAGATGTAGAATCTTTGCTTTGTCTGCTCATTTATATTGGTTGAATGCTCAATGCGACTTACTTTTGAAGTGGGCTCTTGGTAGTTTCACACTGGAGTGGTCATCACTTGATTGATTTTCTTCCTTTTTCAACTTCAGTAGCTATTGTTAGCTATTCCTATAGTCCAGAGAATCATATTGGAGTGTTAGAAACTGCAAACTTGAATGCTCACAACGAGTTACAGCTCTAGTAGCTCTTATCCATTTGAGGCCTAATGGGTTGTTATTGTGTTGTGTTTTGATGTGCAGCTATTTGTAACAAAGAAAGCAAGGTATACGGCCTTTTAAACACATGGGGTTTTGTACAGCAACAGCATCGTAAGACTAGCAATTGCTCTTCCTTTCCTCTGCACATCTTTCTAAGCCTTTTATAGTTTCTGTATTGATGCTGGTCTTCCAAATGTCTAGGTTGCCCAATACCTGTTGTGGATGACCCCAACAAGATAGTTATCCCTGAGGGAAAGACTTCGGACAGTATAATCACCAATCTTTCGTATATTATGGATGATGATGAGCCACTCAGTAATGGATCGTCACCTTTATTTGGAGGATACATAAGTTGGTCAGAAAGAGAGGAGAGTTTCAAAATAAAACCATCAATGAAGGTTAGTGCTGGTGGTGATAATTGTTTAAAGTAGCTCGTGTTTTCATACTCTCTAGATGTTCTGCATTTAGTTTATTCTTGTTTCTGTGTTTTCTCCATTTTAGGTTCATTGTGGCTTCATACGTAACGGTGGTGCAGAAATGGACCCCAATGACATTGAGTATGTGAAGAAGTGTAGATTTGTTGTCGCTTCAGGAATTTTCGACGGTTATGATGTGCCTCACCAGCCCACTAACATAAGCCATCGTTCAAAGGAGCTCTTCTGTTTTCTTATGGCGGTGGATGAGGTGTCTCTCGAGTTCATTCAGGAAAACACCACTGTTAGAACGGACAGTAAAGGCGGCCAATGGGTTGGCATCTGGCGTCTTATCCCATTGAAGAATCCGCCTTATGATGAACCCAGAAGGAATGGCAAAGTCCCCAAAATTTTAACCCACAGATTATTCCCTCAAGCTCAATACAGCATTTGGATTGATGGTAAAATGGAGCTTATTGTTGATCCACTGCAATTACTAGAAAGGTATTCACCATTCAGTATTTTGTTTCCTATTTAAGAATCCCTGTTTTAGTAAATCCCCTGAGTGAAATCATATTTTGGGTTGCTGACCGTGATTCGTCTGACAGAAGAAGCTAGTACTTCTTCCACATGTATTCTGCAATTTATTACCTCTCTAATTCAATTACCTTCTCCTATGCTTAGATACTTGTGGAGGGGGAAGAACACGTTTGCTATTGCTCAACATAAGCACCATCGAAATATATACGAAGAAGCCGATGCAAACAAACGGAGGAAACGCTATGCTCGTCCGCTTATTGATCTGCACATGAAAATCTACAGATATGAAGGGATAGAACCCTGGAGTCTCAAGTCAGGCACCATCAGTGGTAAGAGACGCTCAAGATCCAACGTTTTTGCTGCTATCTTTAGCTATAGAGTCTCTTAAGAAAATTTGTGCTGCTGTTACCTGCATTTAACGAGTTCTCCTTCCCTTTTATGGCGCAGATGTGCCTGAAGGAGCAGTGATCATTAGGGAACACACCCCACTGAGCAACCTGTTCAGCTGCTTGTGGTTCAACGAGGTCCACCTGTTCACGCCAAGGGACCAGCTGAGCTTTGGGTATGTTGTGCACAAGCTAGGGGTCAAACCATTCAAGCACTTCATGTTTCCGAATTGCGAGTACAACTCGCTGTTTGTACTGCATCCACACACGAGGGAGCATTCGTCAAAGGTAGAGTGGGTGAAGAGTTTGAGCGAGTTTAAGGGGAAGGGTAGCAGCATGAAGGAGAGTAGAGGTGGTTTAGGCTTGTGGACTCCTTATCCTGGAGATCTTAGTTCCGTTGTTTTGCCCAAAGTTGTACGAACATCGAAAGCAGGGTAAATTTGATACCGATTGCAGGATTCCACTTGCAACATATTCATCTGTTTGCTTTCATGGCTGCTCCATCTATCTTCACTATCAAGTAACTGCTGTAGGGTTCAACTCTTCATGTTTTCTCACAACTAACTTGTTATACAATCATGCCAAATTCCAATCCAATCCAGCTCAACCAAAATCAATTGAGCTTCTAAGTTGTTCTGAAGTTGCCATTGAATACCAAAACATTTCTAATCCTACACTTTAGTATCTAAACTTCTGAATCCCTGCAGTACATTTGCTCTAAACCCCTGTCGAATACATAACTAATTTCGGCATCACACTCTCGTTCAACTTACCATTCATTCCATCCCATGATACGATTCTTTATCCTCGACATTCTCATTTACATAGAACCGAGCAGCAATCCACAAACTCGACCCATTTGCCAAACGCGCATTAAGTTCACTAAAATCATCGACGATGGCAATGCTCCTGCAAACTGGCAACATTACTATCGAAATACGCAGCGAACCAGAAACCAACGCAGAAAGGGAAGAAAAAGGGACTCTGTGCTCTTACAAAAAATGTCCAAAAAGAATCAATTTGGCAGTTCAGCTTACACGAGAAAAAAGGGCAGGCAAGAGAAGAGAAGCTGTCTCATGAAAATGGTGCTTTTACTATCTAACAGCCGGCGCCCTGACTCTCTTAAAACTACCGAGAGAAAATAAGTCATGTCCAACAAGCCAGAACTGGGAATCACCAACTAATAGCACAAAAATAAATTACAAAACAAATATATAAACTGGCAGAACAAAGCTTCAGACTCAATATTTGCTTTTATTACTCTTGCTTCTCGGAATATGCTGTCACGGGGCAGTCGTGGTGCTCGACCCAAAAACAAGTCTAGGAATGGAGTTGAGTGGTGGCTCAGTTGGTCGAGTCCCGGCTATAGAATGCGTCCAGAGTTTTGGCGGGTATACGGTGGAGCAGCTCGCGAGGGAAGATGCGGAGCAGCGTCCATGCCAAGTCGAGGGATTGGAAGATGTTGCGGGTGTCGTAAGCTCCTTGGGCAACAAACTTCCTCTCGAACTTGTCCAAGAACTCTAAGTACAGCTGTTTTAGACACGAGATTTTATTAATCTTGTTAGTATGCAAGTGAAGAGTGACGAAATTTTATCGATGGAAACAAGGAGGGGAAGCGAATGCATACCAAATCTTCTGATGAAAGAGCTTCTTCTCCCACCACGGCTTTCATTGCCTGAACATCCTTTCCAATAGCATAATTTGCATACAGCTGGAAAGCGACGAAATTAACTCCGGGTTAGATAAATAGTAACGGAGAGAGCAAAAAGGAGTGTTTGATAGAGCATTGGAAGTGTAGAAACCTGATTGGAGACATCAGAGTGGTCGCGACGAGTCATTCCCTCACCAATGGCACTCTGCCACATCAGTCAATGATGCCGTTCAGAATATACACACTAAATATGCCACCAAAATCGTTCTTCATCCAGGATGTAGTCAATAGAGCGAGGACTTACCTTCATCAGACGAGACAAAGATGGAAGAACATTGATTGGAGGATAAATCTGCACAATTCAAACAGATAAAATCTTAATAATGTAGCAGAAAACCTCATTGAGAATCATGTTACCAAGCAAAAATTCAATCATTGTGATTGCATATTTGAAAATTGGTTAAAGAAGGGCTATCGTTGTTAATCCGACAAATAATTGGATGCATAGTTCTATTTCAAGTAAAATTTATCAACATCCTCAAATGATCTAGGACATACAATAACACCTTACCTGTCTGTTATGAAGTTGCCTATCAATGTATATTTGCCCCTCAGTGATATACCCAGTAAGATCAGGAGTAGGATGTGTGATATCTGGTAAGCAAGAGAAATCAAATTTAATGGTCTTTCAAATGGAAGTCTGGGGCATTTGCGGACCATTGATTCTCTTGTAAATCTGAGTGAATTATTACCATCATTGGGCATAGTTAAAATTGGAATCTGAGTGATAGACCCAGTGCGTCCTTCAATACGTCCAGCACGCTCGTAGATTGTAGCCAAATCAGTGTACATATACCCAGGATATCCACGTCTTCCAGGCACTTCTTCTCTGGCAGCGGAGACCTGCATCAGCATTCAGCAGTCTGGCATCATTATTCCATAGGACTCACTATAACATAGCAGTGAAATAATACAGAAGGTACTGAAATAGATTTGTTAAACTGCATAAGGTCAAAATTTGTAGATGCTAGTCCAAAGGGAAAAGTTCAGATTAAGTAGTCTAGAAGATCATTATTATTATCTCACCTCACGAAGGGCATCAGCATAGGAACTCATATCGGTAAGAATGACAAGAACATGCTTTCCACATTCATATGCCAAATACTCTGCAGTAGTAAGAGCAATACGGGGTGTAATGATACGCTCAATTGTGGGGTCATTTGCCTGTAGAAGAACAAGGAAACAAGATTTCAGCTCAGCCACTATTTAGAGGTCAAACACTACGACCAGAGCACTGTGGTGCAGAAAACAATACCCACAAATAGACTAAACAGTAACATCTGCAGGACTTACCAAGTTAAGGAAAAGTGTAACTCTCTCCATGGACCCATTCTCCTCAAAATCACGTTTGAAAAACTGAGCAGTCTCCATGTTAACACCCATGGCTGCAAATACAATAGCGAAATTGTCGTCTTCTCCACTACCCTGAAATTCAAAGATAGTCGGTCAAGAGCAGCAGGAGCAAATACAACAAGCCACAAAGAGAAGAAGTGCACAAGTTATAACATGGAAAGAACGGGCACTCATTGAGCTAAACAAAGGTCATAGCACATCGAGAACCACTAGTATGACAATAAATTAAGAATTCCCTAACGGCTATAGAATATTACATTCCATTTAGAGATATAAGCCAACGCTATGTAGAGCTCCTATAGATAATTACAAAAGAAACAAAACATCATACCATCCTCTTATTTGGAAATAAATGTGCCTCCTACTCATATTTGGAAATCTAGAAAAAGCTGATTTTTACCTCAAGAAGATTGTCAGACTTCTCTAACCGCTTAACCAAACCAGCTTGACGACAAATCTGAGCAGCAATTTCATTATGGGGCAAACCAGCAGCAGAAAAAAGAGGAATCTTTTGCCCTCTAGCAATAGAATTCATGACATCAATGGTTGAAATCCCAGTCTGAATCATCTCTTCAGGGTAAGTTCTTTCACTGGGATTAATGGAACTTCCTGTGTGCACAATATATCAAGTGTCAAGAATGAATAGGTGACACTTCGTTAAGGACACTTTTCTAGAAAGATAGCTCACCAGAAATATCCAGGTAAGCCTCGGGCAAGATAGGAGGGCCATTATCAATAGGCTTTCCGGAACCATTGAAGATACGGCCAAGCATATCCAAAGAGACAGGAGTTTTCAAAACCTGCAACGAAAGGATGGAGTGGAAGTTAGTATGTTTGACCAATAAGGAATTGTCTTGAAACAGTAATAACAACCTAAGCACCCGAACTATATTGCAGAGAACTTGATTTACACATTCAAGAAATGAACAAACCATTACAGTTAACTTCTCTATCTATGAAATGGGCATATAGGTCTCAAGCATCAGCAATTGTCTACAAACTCTACCAAGTAATATGCTGATACAGCTGTAGTCTGTGAGTGTATAACTGATGATCACAAGTCAAAAACCTTAATTTATATGCCTGTCGGTGTCACTTATAAGGCGAAAGCTGCAAAAATTAATTGTCATACCTCTCCAGTGAATTGCACAGTTGTGAACTTGTTATCAATCCCAGATGTTCCTTCAAACACCTGGCAATTAAAATAAGAAGAAATTCACTCATTACCATCTTGAACAGCTGAAACCTGATTAAAGTTCCATCTCAAGTAACTGAATCAAAAGATTGTACCTGAACAACAGCTTTCTCACCATCGACTTCCAAAACCTGGCCACGTCTGGTTGTCCCATCCCCCAATCTGATATTCACAATCTCTTGGTATTTGGGTCCCTAAAGCAGAAGAGGATACAAACACCGATCACTAGTCAAACAAAGCTTTGAGGCAGAATCTGAATCAGAAAAGTAAATAATATGGCAACTTATGGAACAGTTACAAGTTAAGAGCTCCATCTACCTTGACTTTTTCCAGAATAACCAGAGGCCCAGCAACTCCAGAGACCGTCCTGTACTCTGCAATTAGTTAAAGCAGCACGAGTAAATCACCAGCAAAAGCAGCACTAACCCAAGTCTCAAGTTTCATTACCAGATCATTATCAATCAGCATAGACCTAATTAAACATTATTAGCATCATCACTGGAACTATGATCAGCAATTTGTTTTTTCTTTTTAAATGAAGAAAATTTAAGCGGAGTTCAAGACAGTACCCATTCCGATCTCCAGCGTTCCCTCCTCCATGTCGAGATTGTTCTGAGCGCCCATTTTCAACCTTCATCACGCACAGAAAATCGGAAAACAAGTTAAACAAAAGAACCACAATACATGATCGACGCCACTCTAACCAATCCAGAAAGTGGAAACAGCTGAAAGCGATCAAAGAGTTCTTTTCCACCAAGACACTCCAAATCTTCTACATCTCCTCAGCTCACTCAACTCACACACACACACCTTCAGCAGTTGCTTTCAAGCAAGCCACAGACACAGACCGGTAACACGTCAAACCGGCAAACAAAGACGAGGAAATAGAAAGCGCAACCGAAATCGAAATCCCATCCCCATCGAAACAAACAAAGCAAAAAAAAAGAAGTCCCGCAAACACACTGGCGCAACTGAGATATCTTCCTCACTCCCTCCGCGATCGGAATTCAGCGATGACACATAATTGACGACCCGATGAGACACTGATGAACCGAATCAAAGAGAACGACGAAGAGCTCGCCAATGGCGGGAAGCAACAAAGCGATCCGACGGTGAAAGAGCTCCGAGAGGGAAGGAAAGATCTGGAAAAGCGGACTCACCTTTTCGTGATCTGGTACTCGGTAGCACGGAGGAAGAGAGAGAGCAGTGGAGGAGAGGAAGAAGAAGAAGAAGAGAGGATATGCGAGATGGAATAAAAACCGAGAAGTGAGATCTATTGGGAGACCAGACCCAAAAATTAAAACACGATATTTTTTATTTCCAATCGGCGAAATTAACTTTTGAAGGCGCCGAAAAGCTTGAGAGTAAAAGTTGAGTGACTGAAATTGTAGTTTGCCGGAGTAGGAACAAGACGAGGCGAGTGGAAATGTAGGCAATACGTAATCGTTTTCACGGGGGATAATGGGTTTCTTTATTATGAGGAGACGACAAAGAATAGGCCAGGTGTGGTGGTGCAGATTCGAACACGTGCCAGCCTCTCATTGGATTCTTCTATTTTTGGAACCAATTATTGCACACAGCCTGACGGGCCCAACCAGTAAATAAGTTCAGAGATCAGAATTTGGTTGGAACCTGTTGTTTTCTCCATTATGGGCTTGGCCCAATCCAGCGTTGCTCTCTTACAACAATAATCACTTGGCTAGGGGACGGGATGAGCAACTATTCATCCACCACCCAACCAAATCGTACTTGATCGATATCGAGATTGAATCGGATTAAATCCTATATAATTCAATTTGATTTCAATCTTAAGGGTGCTATTGAAATCGAAATTGAAAATTATACAATGGGACTAACGTACTAAACATCATCTTTGATTCGACTTCGATCCTCATTTACGTACTATTATTCAGTGTCAGTCCATCCCGATCTCGACCAGAGACTGGACCTTCTCCCATCCAAGCTATTTATAATTATAACAACCAAGACCAGTAATTTAAGTTGGGTCCCATAGCATGTGATAAATGTGGGAAACTTCCTACCTCATTCCTCTCTTTGTGGTCACTATCATGGTGGGTACCCAATGAAAGAAAAATGATCATATAAGTCCAGAACAAGAGGTGAACCCACAAATTCTTGTCCTCCCACGAAACCTCACTCTGTCACTCAGTAACAGCTGTTTGTTCTCACTGGAGGAAGTAATCAGAGAATGGGAGTTGAGTTCTGAGATCATTGAGCTGCCTGTTGAAGTTGCGTAGAGCTTGAACATGGGCTTCATCTTCTTCAACCGGGATGATCTTGGCAAAGCTTCCTTCTCCAACCAAATCCACAACTCGGTTCGCTGCTTCCAAGCCGCTCACGTAGGCCTTCTCCTGCGACCAGGATCCATGGCGGTTCACGATCCAGTCCCCGGCCATGAACAGGTTGGGGAACGATGTGGAGCCTCTCATCATGTGCTTGTATGAACCTGTTTTTGCAAATGAGTTGAATGTTATAGGGTTGTGGCCGAATTGAGAATTGAAGGTTAAGGGGATAGCATGGGCTAGTTGTGTACCTGGAAAGAAATGGGTTAATGACTTTGGAGATGTGGAGATGTCCATATCAACCAATCTGGCATTCTCAATGTCATTGGCACACTTGCCGAGGTTGGAGATGATCCTCTTCGCGATATCATCGTCATTTAATGGTACGAATTCGCTAGCATTGAACTGGGATGTGTGATTATCAGAGAGGGTTACTGAATGCTGCATAATTCATTACTTGCTTGGGAAGGAAGGAAGGAAGGAAGGAAGAAGGCGAGAAGTGCTTACAAAATCGGCTTGAAGCACTGTATGTGGACAGTCTTTGTATTCATCACGAAGAGCATTCAAGTGAAAGAATGTCCATCCGAATGACTCATCTGTAGCAGAACAAGCGTTGCTTGGATTTGGGATGTTGACCTGCAGGTGTTTACGCGACAAGTTAAGCATGATTAGCAATGTATTTGGCACGAAGGTTTTTACGAACAAACTCTGCTCCAAGATCATACCTTCTTGTCAAGCCAAAGCTTAGCAGTGATCACATCAATGGAAGCCAATTTCAGAACCTTCAAAAACTCGTCCCTTGAACGTAATGCTGCACTACATAAAGCAGCAGAAACTTGTTGCTTATACATATCATATAACATAAATCATACTGCTAAAAAAGGTTCATAAGGAGAAAATTTAAGAATGGACCTGTTCTTAACAAGTTCCTGAACAGTTGAAACTCCGACAGCCAAAACAACAGCATCAGCATAGACAAGCTCATCACTACTGCAAAACACTGCAGAAATGGAACTGGTTCCTTCATCGAAGACCAAATCTCTCACTTCTCTTCCTTCCATGAACCGGAAGCCTCTAGACCTCAACGAAGCCTTCCACGGATCAAAGATTGTTTCTTTAACTTCCCCGCGACACCATACCACATCAAAATCTTTCTACACATGTCACATAGATTCCCACTTAAGCAATACCCAAAAACCAACACAAGTAATGGGCTATTTGAAAATCAAGAACTAATACCAGGTGAGCAATGGAAGTAACTGCAGGTCAAGAACTAATACCTGGTGAGCAATGGAAGTATAGTACAGGATTCCAAGTGCAGCAGCTGCACTGCATTGCTCAGGCGGAGCAAACAGACCAACATGGAGCAATGGATCGAATACTTGGCGGTAGAACCTCTCAGAGCAGCCAAACTGTTTGAAAAGCTCCCTTGCAGTGACTAATCAACCAAGCCCACCTTCTCGATAAGCCCACTTGAACAACCCACTAATCTTCTTAACTGCTGGAAGGAAACCCACATATGGAATTGGGATCTTAGTATATTACTTGAGTCATATTTCCTCCACACCATTTCAGTATTGTCAAAATCAATCACTGCATCAAAATATGTCCCAATAGTTTCAAAGCTTCACATTGTAATCAGGTCAATACAGTTACAGTCATCTTAGAAGAATGTGGACATCATGTTGTATATACCTGCAGCCATTAGAGGAAGGGAACTCAATCTATCCACCCATGGAAGCCGCTTGAACTGCATGAGACAAAATGTTCCATTCTATTCATTCCTACAATACTGAGAAACGGGATACGATCAATTGAAATCCATACTTGAGTGTAGAGCAAGGTTCCCAATGGAGCTGGAAGCTGCTGAAGATCTTGGAATACAGGAAACTCAACCTGCAAACAACTGAAATCTAAATGACAAGTTCTACAACTCAAAACTTAGAAATGATGTAACATTCAAGCAATAGATGAAACCAAAACGGTTTCTTTTTACCTCCAAGCCTTCGCTGGAGTAAACTGCAGACTTCATCCAGTTGGTGAAGGGCTTGATCCCCAGCTCATCAACCAGACTAAATATGTTCTTGTAAGGATACCAAAACCCTAAATCGATATCCAAATTTCAGGAACCAACCACACTAATGATTCTTAAGGCCAATGAGAATTTCCAATGAAATAGGAAGAAATGGAAACAGCTTTGTTACCTTGGATGATACCAGCATTATCAGAACTTCCAAACCCATTCCCATCTTCAAACACAGTAACCTCAAAACCCTAATGGTACAATATCAAAACCAAAGAAATGACTGTAAAGGTTAAAACTTTAAACCCGATTAGCGTTTCACCATGAAAGTTTAAACTTAGGCAGCTACCCAATAGGGTTAACAATGATCAGAAGCGATTGAACCGTGGCACAGTTCATTGACGACATGAAACACATTAGCATATCCCTCATGAATTGTGAATGAGTACCACGGGGAACTTCTACTGATCATTTCTTCAAAGGAAGAACATAACTATTCATCAATTCACAAACTCGAGGGAAAAGGAAGAGTGAAGTTGCCTGCCTGGTTGCAGAGGTGGTGAGCAGCACCAAGTCCAGCCCAGCCCAGCCAGACCCAATCACAGACACCTTCTTCTTTATCTTCCCTTCTTCCTCTTTCCTACTTCTGCTGCTGCTGTGAGCTTCTGCGGAACCAGTAATGGCGGCATGGCTCCTTCTTCGAGATGCTGGAGCCGCTGATTTGGGCCCACCAAGCCCATTACTTGAGTAACTCATACTCCCATATCTTGATGGTGAAGTCGATGATGACTTGATTAAACCGCTGCAAGGAATTGTGGTAGACCACCACCTGCTGCAGCCCAACATCTTCGCCTCCTCCTCCTTCTGAAAGCAACGGTTTCTTTTTCCTAACGACTTCCCTTTCCTTGTTGTATAAAATATGAAGAAAAGAAAAGGAAGAGGGAAATGAAAGTGTTGAGCTTTTTAGGGAGACAGGGGAAAACTGTTTGTAAAATTTGGGAGAGGGATGTGGCTTGTTTCTTCGCCACATGAGCAAAACAGGCTACTACACCATTCCCTTGAGAGAAAATAATAATGAGATGGAAAAATAAACTCCAATCAATTTTTATACGATTTTTATTCTCCAATGAAGAGTTATATATGGTGCACATAAATGATAGTTAAGATTAGAGCTCGGTTTTGTATAAAACAATAGTATTTGAAGACCATAGTGCTTTCCAAAATGACTTTAGTTAAACATGATTCTCTTAGTTATGGATTTTAACAAATGCATGTTGAATCTTTGTAAACTTCTAGTATTGTCATTGCTTCAGCCAAATAAATGTAGGATGAAGAACAATTGAGATACCGATCAATCTCTATTTGTTGATCTTTTTAGGGTTGTGCATTTTGTGGAGAGATGAGGTGATCCCTCTTAACATGCACTCCTAAATTCAGAGAATGGTATGTGAATTGTGAAGAAGAAGGGAAATGATAATTTACACAAGAAGCCTCTATACGGGCAGGTGTTTGATCCCTTATCAAATTTTTTGTTGGGAGAATTAGGAATGCTCAATAAATTTGACCACAAAAGTATTAGATGGACCAAAATCACGACACGAATATAAATTTTGATACTAATATTCCAACAATTAGTCATAAACAACGGTTTAAGATCGATAAACTAGTAAGATATTTGAGGAATGCCAACAAAAGAGGGAAGGGTTAGATGCCAATTTGCCAACTTCAGGGTGGGGATTGGGAAAGGTTAAAAACAGACGACTTTTAGCTCCCCCATTATGCTTTGCTTGAGCAACAAAGTTTAGTGTCAATCAAAGATTATGAAAAGGATGTTAGCATAATGATTGATAAGCGACATTTCCCTTTGTTCCCTTTGGAATGAGGTTTCGTGGAGATGAATGTTATCAAGCAAAATGGTAAAGTCTTTATAGGGCCTATCGTTATTAGATCAATGTCCTATTAACATTGATTAATTTGTTTTTACTTAGTCCTAGCATCAATAATCAACTTCTACCGATTAGTCTACCTTGATTCTTAATAACTTATTATTCTGTTATTGTTGGGTGTTTTCACTTGGAAAGTTAAACCTTTTGTGTCATAAAAAAAATTAGCTTTGTTTGTCCCGCTGAATAAGAACCAAATAATTTCAGTGACATTTCCACTTCATAAAGAATCATAGCAACTCGAGAATTAATAGTCACCAGCTCACCGCAAATTGTTATCTTTCGCATTATCATTACTGCATCGTTACAAACATACAACCACGACCAGATCATTCGAGCACGTCAATAATCATCATTCGAGCACGTCATAAAAGAATTAGCTTTGTTTGTCCCGCTGAATAGGCACAAAATAAATTCAGTGACATTTCCACTTCATAAAGAATCATAGCAACTCGAGAATTAATAGTCACCGGCTCACCGCAAATTGTTATCTTTCGCATTATCATTACTGCATCGTTACAAACACACAACCACGACTAGATCATTCGAGCACGTCAAGAATCAACATATTGAGAAATGTTCAACTTGACAGTCTAGAGAGCTACATAAAACTGAGGGAAAGTCATGATAATTCTCGACTTCTGAATCGTAATTAGAAAATAGACATAAATAATAATGTAACAAATACGAGAAGCGTTACACTTAACAAGACTCTGGAGTCTATAAAATGAGAAGACATCCCATTAAACGGCCGTAATTCACCTATCGTTTCCGCTTATCCTACTCCGAGAGGCACCGAAACCTCTCTCTAATCTCTGTCTTCCTTACCGTTGCTTTGCGCTTTACTTGGAAGAAATTATTTTCTTTCTCAACTGCTCTCTCTCTTTCTTTCTTTCTCTTCATTCTCAGACTTTCATTTTTGTCCACAAAAAAATAAGGAAAACGTTTCAACTTTCAACTAATGGCTGCCAATCTCTCCCTCCGGCCCAGCCACCACCGCTTCTCCCCCGCCGGTGGCTATTCATCCTTCCTCCGGCCGCCGTCGGCCCCCGTACCTGCCGCTCTGAAGGCAATAAAGTCCTGCCGCAGCCAGCCATGGAGGGGATCGATTTCCCCCGCGGGGGCTCGGCGGCGGATTCTGGCCGCCAGCGCCAGAGCCGACGACTCGGCGCCGTACGGGATGTCGCTGGAGAACGCGCTCAAGCTGCTCGGGGTCGCGGAGGGAGCTTCCTTCGACGACGTCCTTCGCGCCAAAAACTCGATCCTCGCCACTTGCAAAGACGACAAGGACGCAATTGCTCAGGTGAATTTTGGTTGCCCAGTTACTAATTTTCCTTTCCATTTCTGGAATTCTCGACTGCTTGATCGGAATCGCTGATTTGGAGGTTGTGTTGTGCGTTTTTAGCTCTTTGCCGTTACTAATTCTCGCATTGGATCGTTTCTACATGAATATTCAACGTTGCGGCGAAATTCTCGATTGTTCCGCCATTGGGTTTTGGCCTTTTGGGCGAGGTTTGAGTTTGATGGCGGGGAACTAGTTTATCAAACTATAGCAAATAATGGCCGCCGGAGATCCTCAATGTGGAGTTATGGCGATTAGACAGCATAAGCCTCTGTAGTGAGCAATTCAGCATAAAGGGAAGCTGAAATTAGGGTGTAGTTCAGCTACCACTGCAGACTGTTTCGGCATGGTGAATTCAGGGCTCTAAATTTGATAACTTCTGAAAGCTGAATGTAAAGTTCTTTTCTTTACAGTCATGGATGTCATTCTGCATACGACATGATCCTAATTCAGTGCTCTAGATTTGATATGAGTTCTGAAAGATGAATGTAAAGTTCATGTCTTTACAGTCATGGATGTCATTTTATTCCTCATGAACTGTTGTGAGTGTACTATTGCTCACTGTTGCTTGCTCTTCCTATTGGGATGGTCATACCTGATGTGGGTTTGATCTGTTTGTCTTTTTTTGTTAGGTTGAAGCTGCATACGACATGATCCTAATGCAAAGCCTATCTCAACGTCGGGCAGGGAGAGTGGCAAACAGTCGAATTCGTTACGCTGATGTGAAACCCGCGAGCCCTCCAGGAGGAGGGATGGGAGGATCAATGCCGAAATGGCTGCAAACTACAGTCAAGAATGCTCCTGTCTCGGTAGAGGCCCCACCAACTACCGATTTGGGAATACAAGCCGGTGTCTATGGAGCATTGATGGTTCTAACGTATGCCAATGGTGCTTCCACCTCATCCGTGGTGCCCTATGCAGCAGCTGATGTCCCCGGGCTGCTCCTGGCCACGAGTTTTGGTGCTTCATTATACTTCATGACCAAGAAGAAGGTGAAACTAGGTAACAAGCCCCCTCGAAGCATCTTATCAATGCGCCTTTTAGCCCTCACGTTCCCTGCAATCTAATAGCGATGGTGGTTTGTTTGCGTTCTGCAGGTAAGGCGACTGTGATTACATTGGGAGGGCTCGTGGCTGGTGCTGTGGTGGGTTCAGCGGTTGAGAGCTGGCTGCAGGTTGATATTGTCCCGTTTTTCGGACTCCACTCTCCAGCTGCGGTGGTTAGTGAGTTCATTCTGGTCTCTCAATTCTTGGTTTCCCTGTACCTAAGGTGAAAGGAGGGTAAAGAAGAAGGGAGGAAACATCTACAACTGTAACACCTGTAATTACTCAAATTGCATGATCATAGCCAAGCCAAGCCAAGTTTTTTTGGTTTTCTCCTTGTAGGATGTGTATCATTGCACCTTTGTATAAAACTGCAATTTAGAATGTAGTTGGGATATACTTGTGTTAAGTTATAAATGGTTATTTCCCCGATAATTCTCTTTTTCATTAAAAAAAAATGTTCAAGATCTTCGAGACATTTCATAGACGATATCTTTGGATCATATACTCCATCAAAAACTACTCTACACTATTAGATATCAATCTACTACTAATAAATTGCAAATGGTTGTTGATGTCTTTTTGAGAATGGATGGTCAGATTGAATAGATCGCTTGTGTTATTGAGAAAATCAAAACATCAATGTTAAACTTTTAAATAACTTCTCTCCTTAACCTTTCGTTTCAACAATTTTATGGTTATAATTAATGCAAAATACATTTGTATATGATAAAATCTTTGATCTAAATGACGAGCATAACCATTCTTTCAATAATGACAAATCTATTTAAATTAGTTAAGAGAAAATACAATTTATCAGCAAATTTTCAAATATTAGCCAAACATTTCGAAAATACAAAGTATTAGTCAAATATTAACTTCCCGCTAGCAATTTTGTTAGTAATGATGATTTGGCAACATTATGCTGAGTTGAAAAAGATACGTGACAGTTAACACTAGATTGTACCCCGGCCCGTTGGCCGGTTGCAATATGATAACCCAAATTAATAAAACTTTAAACTTTAAATTTCAGCAATATCCTCTTTTCTTATATTTGTGCCATGATTATATGCCAATGTCCTGCGAATTAATGAGCAATAGTATCAATTTTTTACAATAGCAAGACAATTTCTTAGTTTTTACCATCAAGAAAGTCTAATTTTTCAATTGCTTGAAAAATAGAAATGAGCATCCATAAGAAAGATTACTAACATTATAATCGGTGCCTTCTATATAGATTATTGGTGAAATTAAAACGATAGAACTCATGCAAGGGTATATAAATTTATAATAAACTTAATGACACGATATTGTAGATTTTCCAAATGACCAATATTAGTACCTTTTTACTATAAAAAATCTTCATCATCAACTTAACAATATATTCATCATCAACAAACACTTCTCTCATTATAACGGATTTCCGGTAGGAATGTTGATAATTTTTTCATCTATACGCTATTGCCTTTATTAAAGAGCACGTTTTCTTCTTGGTAATTTTATCAATGATTAATCAATTCTCTTAAACTATGACTTATGTGCATTAAGTTTAAAATAGTTAGAGAGATTATAAACAATTCATAGTTAATCAATGCTCATACCATTATAAAACTTAATTTGCACTTAAGATAGAGACCGGTGAGAGTCAATCACACCTTTTGGTGGTATGAAAATGACTTTCCTTTTTCCTAACTCAATAATGTGACATAAACGCACATTAAATTGTAAGATGCATATAATTATAAATTTTATGTTGGAAAAAGAAAGTCAAACACAATGTTTGATTGTTTGGATGATTCTATAAAAAAAAAATATTTTTAACATATCCTTGAAGCATTGAACTTTAAGAAATGTAGTTGTCAAAAATATTGGTCTAAATAATCTAAACAAAATAGTTGATGATGGAGAGAGTTTTAGCATGAATATGAAAACCTTAATTAACTATTTAAGATTCAAACATGAAGATGAGATGCATGATTCTCTAGTATAAATATAGTTAGTGAAGAAAATTCATACCTAAGATGAACGCTCCAGGCTATTAAGTTTTTGGTGTCTAATATATAAGTGCAATTGCCAATTAGAGAACATGTTTCTCTTTTCTTTCCGCCGCATGCTCGGAATTATAGATATGTTTGAATTAAAAATTCAAAGACCAAGAGGCCCGCTGAAATAAAAAGATAAATGAAATTGGACCTGCCTGGAAATATAGAGGCTCCGCTGAATTAAGTAAAAACAAAGAAGGAATAGACTACACTGCCCTTCCGTGCTTTGCGCAAGAGTCAAGAAAAAGTAATTTAAGTGGGTGGTGCACGAGAATCTCTTTATATGTATGGTTAGATTTCAAATTTTATTATTTTAACTAAGAAAATAGTTACAAAATTATTAACCGTAACATAAAAATAGCCATTGTTTTGATGAGTTACAAAATATTTGGCTAATACTTTATATTTCAATTTTTTTTGTTAATAAGTTAAAAATTTTGGAAGTTTGAATAATAAATTTGTATTTCGTATTTACTCATTAATGGTAACTTGTTAAGTGTTAACACCCCACATCTGGGCCGATGTTACACATCGTCCAAGCCCAAATAAAAAAGCACCCCCGGGAGCCCATATCTATAACCCACCCGATCCACAATAAGCTCTTACTTCTTACACTACTTTTTCCCGCCATGGCGCGGCAAATTCCTTGTCCGACCAGGAGACGGGAATCCTTGCTCTCCGATGAATCCTTCCGGCCATGGGAAAGAGCTAAAACTGTATATATACTTCAACACTCCCCTTCCAATCTGTCTTCGACATTCCAATTCCGACAGAAAAAGGGCACAAGCAAGAAACAGAAGAGGAAAGCGCGAAAGAGATCGGAGAATGTCGATGTCTTCGATTCGCGAAATCGGCGGGCCGTCGCCGTCATCCACGGCGGCGACACAGATGCCTCCGGGCGTCAAGTTCTCCCCGACGGAAGGAGAACTTCTGGGTTACTACCTCTACAACCACATCCGCCGCACGCTCCCGCCGGCCCACTACTCTGCGATCCGCCGCCACGACCTCTACGGCGACGACGAGCCGTGGGATATCTGGCGGCGCCTCCAGTCCTCCGGCGAGGATCCCGGCGACGCGTACGCCTTCACCGAGCTGAAGAAGAAGCTGAAGTCCTGTGGCGGCAAGAGCAAGAGGTCCGGCCGGAAGGTCGGCAGGGGCGGCGGGAACTGGCACGGCGAGGACGTCGGTAACAATTTCAGCCTCGTCCGCCGCGCGCGGTCGCCGGCGGAGAAGGACGAGCGGTGGACCGGGATGCGGAAGAGGTTCATCTACCAAAACCCTAACCCCCAATTCGCCGGCGAGCACAAGAAGTGGATCCTCTACCAGTTCAGTTTGACAAGAGAGGGCTGCAGCGAGGAGGAGAAGGAGGTCGTGTGTATGATCCGCAACAACGGATCCCCAATTGGGAATTCGATTGTGGATGCGGCGAGAAAGTCCGCTCTCGCCGGCAGGAAGAGGAAGCTCGAGGATTTCATCAGGAAAATTTCCTCTAACGGCGACGTTTCCACTAGCAGCAAAAGAGTGTGCTACCCCAATCCCCTGCCTCCACAACAACAACAACAGCAACTTCCCCTGCCTCCACAACAACTTCAACAGCAACTTCCCCTGCCTCCACAACAACAACAACTTCCCCTGCCTCCTACAGTGGTGGATTGTTTCAATCCACTGCCTCCCCTGGCGACGAATGTGCTGCCACAGCAACCACAACCAGCCGAAGAAGAAGAGGAGACATTGGATGTGATTTCGTGGATCGATTTCGGGGACGGGGAATTCGACTGGGGAGATCAAGGAGGCAGTGGATTTGATCCACAATCTGTGCTGGAGTTTCCACAAGGAAGTAGTGATCATGATGATGAGCATTACCATACTACAGAGACGACACAAGAAGAAACGAATGAGCCTGTCTATCTACTTCCACCCACATCCCTCATTGCTGATTACTGCTCCCAGCCAGCACCAGAAGCTGGAATTCCAGTGGCTGGAGATGATGGCAAAGGGAAGACAGGACAAGAAGAAATGAATGAGCCTCTCAATCTGCCTCCACACCCTGGTTGTTTCGAGCCAGCAGCAGCAGCAGCCGATCCAGTGGCTGAAGAAGGCGATGCAGGGGAGGGGAAAGTGGTGGCTGCTGCTGCAGCAGAAGATGATGCTGCTAATGATTTTGCACCACAGGAGGATAGTGGTAAAGGCATCATGATGTGTGGCGAGGATGACACCAGTCGACAAGCTGCAGACTCGGCGATGGTGCAGCCATGGGACGTTACCATGGGAAGAGCGGGGCTGAGTGATCATCTGCTGGTGGATATGCCGTTTGAGCAACCACCATGTGTGGTGAATCCGTCGGAAGGTTATGCGAGTTGTGAATGGGAAGCCTGCGAATATGTTGATCTATGGAGTTTTGGTCCCATGTACGTGTAGAAGGTGATCATTGTGTAGTTAGTTAGTCTATTATGTAATGAGAAGAAGAGATGATATTGATATTATTGTTTGTTGATGTAGAAAAGCCATAATAGACGTGGTGAATTTAGGAACAATCTGTACAAGGAACCCAAAGAATGTATTCGGGATCTACTTGTGTTAAGTTATAAATGGTATTGTGTTATATTTATTAAGCTGCTTTTCTTGATATATAAAAAAAAAAATTGAGATTTACGAGACACTTTGTAGTCATACACGATATCTTTAGATACACTCTTATACACTCAATTAACACAACATAAAAATCGTCAACATTTATGTCTACAAAACTACTCTACACTAGCAGATTTAAGGTGCACATAGGTGGTGTGCGTCGGTTTTGAGTCTTTATAGTCAGCACACTCATATTTACAGTCTCAAGAATAAAGAATCCGAACCAATCATAAAAAATGCAACATTATGAATGTGGTTGGCTTCATATCGGTCATGGTCAAGAAATAATTCGGGTGAAAAACAATGTGATATTATTTATTGATATTACTTTGAATTATTATAAAGGTATGATTATTTACAGGAGCTGTTCATTAAAATAACCTAAATTGTGGACATTTAGTTTTTCATTTTGCAGAAATTTTTAATAAATATTAAATTAATACAGGGAACTAATCAATTAGTATGAAAACATGATATTAGTTAGCACATGACGATCATAATCTGTGAAAAATCCTAGAATTTTTCAATTGATAGAGATTCTTGACCAATCAATACGAAAAAACTAGTCAATTGGATATGCTATAAGGTTACGACATATAAATTTTATTTTTTGTATATCAGTATCAAACGAGAGATATGATCTACCAAATTGACATGAGATTAAGTTGATCTATATGCATAAAAAAAGGGTAGAATCAAGTCATTGTCATCTCCCAATGGTTTCACCTTCTTTCTTTCCATTTTAACCGATTCCAAAGTTGGCTAATCTCACACAATGAGTCTATATGGGTATTCCATCCCTTGAACCATATAAAAAGAACAGGAATAAAACCACAAAGCAACACAAAACAACAAATCAAATTATTGAAAAAAATAAAATCAAACACCACTGAATTTTTTAACGGGTGGATTAATTAGTTTACTAAGGCATGTAGGAGCAGGGCAATTCCATAACAAGGTCTTTGATCTTTTTGCTGCAGAGCTCTAATGGGAAACAACAATGTAATGCAGCTGCGGCTGAAGAATGTCGTCATGAAGTTGATGATGGTTGATGCTAATATTCATGGCTGCCTGCAATTCAACTCTTGCCCATCTAGCCTTCCTCTTCGTCTCCTCTTGCCTCACGACGAAATCCTTGTGGCCGATCTCCTGGAGACACTTGTCGTAAAGGGTAGGATCCATCTCTTCCAGCATCTTCTTCACATTCTCCGTCAGTTGCTTCACGCTGCTGCTCCAGTGCCATTTCATGTTCTTCTCCATCCCTTCCACCACCACTGGGAACACATCTTCGATCGCGGATGTTGCCATCTTCACAAAAATATCGTTGTTCCACAAGTAGAGAGCTCGCTCTGCGACCTGGAGGTTTCGTGTACCAGTACAGAAAGATCAGAAATCACCATTGTAGAGCATGTAATCAAGATATGAGCAATCAAATGTCAATGTTCTGAACAGTTTGTACAAGGAACCAAAATAGTGGCGGGTATAATAGAATTCCAAGGTTGGTTCGTGTCTGCATGAGGTTGAATCTCATTGCATAACTGAAGGAAAAAGCCAAACCAGAAACAAGTCACATTTCCAAGGTTGGTCGTGGCTGACCAGGGACAAATTTCAGTAAATCATGGCAAACAGCCTTTTTTATGTCCTGAGATACATTTTGAAGTTCTATAAAAGATACCAACGTAGACACAGGGAATCCAAGAAAAACAGGAACAAACTGTACAAGAAACCATAGAAAGCATTAGAAGCTTATGTATCTACGCCATGAATCAAATCGTCTCAATAACTTGTGGTCCAAGAAGAAAGTTTGTATCATTTCATTATAGAATCAAACTCACCCACATCCGAGGCATATCATAAGAAAACGTGACAGAAGTCAGAAAACATGATTGAAATAATACCTGTGAGTTCCAACTGTTGAGGCATCTTGTGACTTGGGTACACAATGGCAAAGCCAGCCTTCTATAATGGTCAGGACTAATATTCTCCACCAGCTCTTCCAATTCACTGATCAGCAAGACCTGCTTATGGCAATTGGTAATAGGCCAGTACCTCAGGATCCCTCTAATAACCAACCCACCAAGAATAGGCTCCTTCTGCACGAACTGAGAGACACAGTAAGCCAGCTGCCTGTGATAAACCATCATCCCTTTAGTCTTGTGCAAAGGAATCAACACCCTCATCAAGAACAACTTATGCTCTTCCTTTAACGGCACGGTAAATCCATTTATGATACTCCCCCATATCTCAAGCAGCTCGCCTATCCCCGAGTGCTTCTCGGCCTCAAAAGCATAGTGTAACAGGACATCATTCATCGATTTCCTCATGAACGCTCGATAGAATGTAAACTTTGAATATATCCTGTGGTAAACATTCTTCAAGCTCTCACGCTCTCTCAAGTCCTCAGACTGGAAGAGGTCCAGGAGACTGAGGAGGAACTGGCGATCGATAATGAGACGGGAATGGTGTGATTTGGGATCCACGTTAATAAGGAGGCGGATGAGGATTTCATAGATGGGTTGGAGGTGAGACCAGAGAGGGGAGAGTGAGGATTTGAGGTCCTCACTTTCCTCAGCTGGGGTCGGGTGATGAACATTGTTGTTACATGATGGAGGGAGCGGCCTGATGAGATTGGCCGAGATCATGGTCACGAGGGAGGTAACAACGTGATCTAGAAGCTCCCGTTTGAGCGATTTTATGATAGAGAGAAGCCGGAGGAGCTTGACCCTCTTCGCTTCTTGTGCAGAGGAAGACTCCAAGTCATCATCGACAAAAGTGAAGATGGTGGTAGTGCAGTGGGATACCAGGGATATGATTTCTTCATCTTCTTGCTTGTTGGTTACAAGACCGTTGTAACACTCGTTGTTGCTGCTTCCCTTGTTTGATTCCAAGTTGAACAAGTGATGCAGCATTGTGGATGATGATCTTTCCCTTGGTGATTCCCTTGGGCTGTTCCTGAAGACGCCCATTGTAGTACTGATGATGAATGGCACCTATAGCAACAAGAGGAAGAAGAATGAGAAGAAATTGAAAGGGCATAAACAAAGGGAAACACTGTGTGGTGTTTTATTCTTTCTTTTTGCTTCTATCCTCTACCTGTTTCTTCCTCTTGTTGATGATTGATCTTTGAGTTGGCCTAGTGAATTCCAACCTGATAGTGATGTTTTTACCTGAAGACAAAGGAAAGACTTGTAAATTCCGAAAAATTCTGGCTTTTTATCCAGTTTCTCTGATACGAGAGAAGAACCCAAATAGGACACATTGGAGTATTACCTGGTTGCGGATTTCATTCGGTAAATGACAAATGTTTCTGCCTGAAAAATGTGTCGGAAGCTGGCGTGCTATGAACAACAACGCATCATAGAGAAAGAAAGAAACCCAAAAGGACAAGAGAGACTGAAAATAATTCATCCAAATCCAAAGTCTAATGCAAACAAGGATATCAACGCACAGTCTAAAATCAAACAGCAAATAGACTACCAAAAATTTCACAGAGCTGGCATTTAGTACAAACAGAGGAACAGCTGACTAAACTAACTAGAACTACACATTGCATTACTGCTCTTCCTTTTCCTTCTTCTACTAGTTAAACAAAGGAAGACACATGGCAAAGTTGAGTACTTTAGTACCACTAAACAGAAGTCAAGGAAGAATGGATGTCTACAAGTTCAGAACTCTTGGAGAACTTCAGCCAGTGATTCCTCTCAGCATACTGCAAACAAGGATGCATACCGAGCCCAACAACAATAGCCGCCGCGCTAATTGCCATAACTTTCAAAGGAGCAATCACCATAACCACCACCAGCAATAGGCCTGGAAGAATACACATCACAACAGCTCCACCAGTCCCGAGAGGGATCTTGAAAGGCCTCATTGCTCCCGGGTAATCAATCCTCAGCTTAATGAACGCAACAAACTCCATGATCATCCCAAAACAGTACAAGAAGTTCTCTGCTGCCACAATCTCCTGAAAGCTCATCCATGAGAGCAGCACAACCCCTGATGCAGAGAACAGTATCCCGATCGAAGGGGTCCCGTATCTAGACCTCTTGCTGAAGAACTCGGGAAGCATTCCTCTTTCCGCCATACCCAGGAGCTGGAATGAGTCGCTGCTCATTTCGGCCATGAACATCCCCATGTTCGATACTGCAGAAGCTGCTTGAACCCAGTACATTAGCCACACGCCCCCCAGAACCTTGGCTATCTCCGAGAAGTAACCATCGGTCCAGCGATCTTGATCAACGGGTAGTGCACCAGTTCCCACTAATAACGGGATCAAGTAGCTGAAAATGGTTAGGATAAGTGCATAGAAGAGCGACTTGGGTAGGGTTTTACCAGGGTTCTCGACTTCTCCTGCTAGAGTACTAATCGAGTCCCAGTAGTTGAGGTTCCAGAAGAGAGTGTTCAAGTATAATGTCCAGTTAACTTTGCCGAAGTCGACCACCAGCCACCTCGAAGGCTCGAGCTTAGGAAATGCAATCACTCCCATGAGGAGGAATGGGAGAAGTGAGATCACTCCCAGCAATATAGCTGCCCATCCTACTATGGTTAGTCCCCTATAGTTCAAGAGTGTAAGCATAACCGTTAATACAAGAACCGCCACCATTCTTATGAAGCCGTCTTCTAGCGCTGGGATTGCAGGTTTCAGGTAGTCGAGAAACAGGACAGGGTATAGTGCATTGTCGATTACACCACTCAGCCATTTCATCCAGCCTTGTTGAAAACCCCAGAAAGGGCCGAGAGCTGAGGAGACCCAGACCACGTAGCCACCATTCTCAGGGAACATTGTGCTGAGCTCTGCTGTTATTAGGGCCTCCGGGATGCTCCATACCAATGGGAAGACGAGAAAGCCGAGGATAGCTAAGAGTGGTCCGGCAGCATTGACACTGTCTTCGACTCCAAAGGGTCCACCAGAGACTTCATAGAAAATGAGGAACACAAGTGGGAGGATTGAGACTTTGCGGTAGTTATTCGGCTTGGGGGAAGGCGGAGAACTGATTGGTGAATAGTCGGCAGCATTGTTGGCGTCCATGATGGTGGATGGAGTTTGCAATTGGAAAGAGTTCCTTTGCTTCTGCATGTGAAGTATCAAGCAAAGAGTAAAGGTTCTGATAACTGAAAGTGAAAGACTGAATCGTTTAATGCTCCCTTAACAAACGAATCCACTGAGCATCGATCGGGCAGTAGTAGGTCCGTTAAAGTACTTTTCTTTCTAAGCCTTGCATTCCTAAAGGGGGAAACTACATCAGCATGAACACATCAGGATTCAGGAGCATCTGGCACTCGTTTACCCTAGCCAACGAGGTTCAGCATCAGTAAACAGAAGACCTAATTACTGAACAGCAATTCAAAAGCCAGGACAGTTCACAGTTCACACATTAACCAAACATCCAAAACACAGCGAATATACAAAGACCCAGAAGACCTAATCTGGGTCTTCAATCTCACAGACCATTTTTTTAAAAATCTCACCTTTGTTCAATGAACAGACGAATCAGAGAAAACCCACAACCGGCCTCGCGTCAGAATCGAGAAATCAGAGATTTCAAAGCAAAGAGTACAAGGCACACAACTGATTGAGATTGTCAAGACATGGCTGATAGCGTAAGGTGGAGAAAAAGAGCCAACAACCCTACTAACCATACGAGAAAAAAGATGTGGCGGAGACCAAATCCAGAAGGTGTCAGCAGCGGCGTAGTGGAAGTCGAGGGTCTTGGCCGGGCTGCATGAGTTGGACTCGGACCCCACGCGTCGAGCGGGAAAACAGGTCCGTTACATCACCGGAAAACGGCGCCGCTTGAGAAGAAGAAGTCCAGCGGAGCATTTGCCGGCACACGGAATGGAGATGATGAAGAAGAGGAGGGATTTTGCATCTGGGTTTTGGGTCTCCGATTTGGGACAGAGATTTCGAAATTGTGATCGGAGATTTGAGACTGCAAAAAGGGGGTAAAAAAAGGGAAAAGGAAATTTTGTTTCTGCCCCGTTGACGGCCAAGAGCGCTGGCTCTGAGTAGTAAGAATTTCGCGGGTACCACAAAACTCGCCAGCTCCCCCGCGCAACCGCTTGCCAAAACGACATCGTGGCAGCTGCATTCACTCAAACAGTAACTACCTGGTAAACTCAGGTGTGTAGTGTAGTAGAGGATAAAAAAAAGTTAGTAGAAATATGGTGTGGTGTGATCAAAGATAAATTAATAAATCTCTCAATGAATCTATGAAACAGTAAACATAAATAAGAAGAACATTGTCCGTGACAATGCAACTCTGGTGATATAAATATCAAATACACAGGTTGTGGCAGGGTTTGGCACGCGCAGGTTGTGTGTTCGAGCTACTGCTCTCTCGACGGGATGGGCGTTTTCTCTACGATACCTTGACCCGGTTACAGACGCGAAAAGGGGTAGTCAACACCATGGTTTGGCCCCCATTGCAACATCACTGAAGATGGTGACCGTGGAGGGTATGTCACGTTATAAAAAAAATGCCAAATACACTTAAAAGAAATTTTGAATATCTGTTCATTCTTTCGAAAACATCGCGTATTGAATTATTGACGATAATCGTTTTGTAAGCTATCAAGCTAAACTCTTATTAACAACCATTAACTTATTTTCCTAGAAACTAAAATGTTGGGAAATTGAAAACAAAGAGTTCGAATCCAAATCGATATCTAATTTCTTAATCCTTGTGAAAATCCGAAATCAAATTTCTAAACCGAAAAGGATCACACAATGATTCCCCACATAAAAAAAAGAAGGAAAATCAGACCTTAACCAACTAACAAATTATTCAATTCCTTTTCGTACGCACACCAAACCATCAATCCTCCACCACAGGAGGGCGACGATGGACGAGAGCCTCTTCCTCGTCGACCAATCCAATCCATGTCCCGTCGGCCTCGGCCCCCGCAAATCCTCCTCCGCCGCCGCCGCAGCCGCCGTGTTCTCCAGCTTCACCATCGAGATGATCGAGCTGGACCAGTCGTCGAAGGCGTACACCAGCCTCAAGAACCTGCTCCGGACCACGTCGATGCTGTCGCCGCTCTGCTGCAGCTCCAGCTGGGAAGACATCCCGCTCAAGGATCCGCTCGTCAAGCAGGCCGCTTGGGCCTACCTGCAGCCGATGGCGTCCACGGCGGGGGAGGATTGCGGCGGCGGGGGGTTTTTCGGGATTTTCCAGCGGGGCATGGATAATAGATCCCCGGTGGAGTGCGGCTGCCTCGCGTGGCTGAACGAAATCGTTGTGAAAGGATTTCTCGAATTGCTGTCTGGGAAGAAGAGAATCGAGTGTTTGCCGGATGACGACGAGGAAGAGAACGAGAACTTCGCCGGCCGGGGAGACTACGACGACGGCGAGAAGGCTGACTGAATTGAAAAAGAAAGAGCAGAGTTTCGTTTCTTCACGAGTCTATTTCGTTTGACTGGTCGACACTTGATAGTGGCACAACTGTAATATACAAAGTGGATTCCTTTTTCTTACTTTCACTGTTCCACAGGTACTTAGGGATTGAGTAATTTGAAGGAGTTAGCTTTAGATCAGTGATTTGGTAAGAGTATAATTGAATGAATCATCAACGTAATCACAAAAGAATAGAACATACATGTGAATGTTGTACTAAACCCGCTCTTACCACCAGAATTATGCACAACAAGAACCACAATCGACTTTGGAAGGAACTCCTTACCAGTAATCCCCGCATGAACAAACTCCACCATTGAAATGGTGGAAAGCTTTGCCATCTCCCACCACAATCTCTCTATTACAAGCCCTGGAGATCTTCTTCGCCAACCGATGGCAATCCTTGCAGATTCTCGTGTTCTGCCTGACCACAAAAGGCTTCCCAACTGCCGTCGACACCAAGCCTAAGCAGATCGCCAGCCTGACTGCGTGTCCCTCCGGCGAGCCCCTTCTCCTCTTGATCAAATCCACCGGTCTAAACTTCATGTTCATTTTCACATCCTCGCCTGTTTGCTTCAGCATCACGTCAAGTACTTCACTGATCATGTTCGCCTCGCGGTGGGACACGTCGTGGTAAACGAACCTTTCGCTCTTGCCTCCAATCTGAACGCTGCAACTTGCAGTCGTTTTCGCTAACCCCTTCTCCTTCATCAGGGATTTGATCCTGTTCACGTCTTCCCACCTCCCGGCTTCTGCGTACATGTTCGAGAGCAAGACGTAGCAGCCCGTGTTGTCGTGTTCGAGGGAGGAGATCTTGCTGGCGGCAAGTTCGGCCGATGCTAAGTCGTTGTTGTTTCTGCTTGCTGAGAGGAATGAGCCCCAGATTCTTGCTGTCGGTGGCAGGGGCATCTGTTCGATGAACTCCCTGGCTGCGTCGAGATTTCCCGAGCGTCCTAGGAGATCTATCATGCAGCCGTATTGCTCGATTCCAGGGTCGATGTTGTACTCGGATTTCATCGCGTTGAAGTACTCCCACCCTTGTTCAATGAGGCCAGAGATGCTGCAAGAGTACAGCAGCGAGACGAAACTGCCTTGATCTGGTTCAATACCGGTTTCCCTCATTTGGGAAAACGTGGCAATGGCAGTTTCACCAAATCCGTGCATACCGTAAGCCAAGATCATAGTGTTCCATGAAACCAGATTCTTACCCGGCATTCGATCGAAGATCCTTCTTGCGGTGTCAAGATCGCCGCATTTTGCATAAGCGTGAATGAGAGCATTGGAGATGACGGTGTTTGAGCCGAACTTGGCAGCAAGAGCATGGATCTGCTTACACTCGTTTACCATAGCTAGCTCTGCGTAGGAAGGAAGGATGCTAGCAATTGTGATTGCATCCGGTTTAAGGTGGTGGTACTGCTTCAAACACATCTCCTGAAACAGTTCGAGAGCCTCCTCGTGTTTTTCGTTCTGTACATAAACAGCAATCATGGTGTTCCATGATATCAAATTCTTCTCACTGATAACACTAAAAAGACGTTCAGCCGATCTCACTGCTGCACATTTTCCATAAGCGTCGACCAGGGAAGTTTCCAAGACTACCTGAGGGAGAAGAAGCTTCCTGAAGGCATACCCATGGATGGACTGACACTCCTTCAGAGATCCTACTTGTGAACAAGACGGGAGAACGTTTATCAAGGAAATAGCATCTGGAACCATGTGTTGATCCTCTTGCATTAGTCTCAAACAAGCAAATGACTCTGCAGATTTGCCACTTACAACATAGGCATTAATCAGGGAATTCCAGACTGCAACATTTTTCAATGGGATAAGGTGGAACACCATCTCCGCAGAGCGAACTTCACCACATTTACCATACATATCTACTAGAGAAGTTCCCACCATAACATCCAAATCAATCCCGTTCTTAATCACTAGGCAGTGAATTTCCTTCCCAGATTTCAAACAGCTTTCCTTAGAACATGCACCGAGAGCACTAATAACGCCGAACCTATCCGGTTTTTTCCCTGAACCAATCATTTCTCGAAACCAACCTAACGAGCTGAACCCATCTCCAGCCGAAAGATACCCAGCAACCATAGAGTTCCAAGAAACCAGGTCCCTCTGAGGCATTTCCTCAAACACCTTCTCCGCTAACTCAGCACACCCAACCGAGAAATACATCTCCACAAGAAAGTTACAAACGTAGATGTCGGAATCCAACCCGACTTTAATCAGCCTGGCGTGAACTCGCTGCCCTTCGGTTAACCACATCAACTCTCCACACGCTTTGATTACAAACGGGAAGGTGAAATAGTCCATTCGAATCCCTTCCCGCTCCATCCTGCGGTAGAAATCGACGGCTTCCGAGAACAACCCATTCCTAGCAAGTCCCCTGATGATGACGTTCCATATGAAGGTGTCTGAGTGGTTCATTTTCTCGAACAGCTGGAGCGCGGAGTCCATGGCACAACCAGAATCAGCTAATGCTAAGAGGGAACGAGTGACAGCGGGGCTGTTTGGCTTGATGGAAGGTCTCGAAGGGTGGCGCCGGGAATTCCTTGCACGCTCGGGGAACTTGACTGACTTCGTTTCCTCGAGTTGTTTAGATGAATCGTCGATTGGTTTGAGAGACGAGCTGCAGCAGTAGCTGGTAAGAACAGTTGCCGCCATTTTTTTTATCGAACGACCTAATTCTGATTGGATAAACGGTAAACCAGTTATGAGGTGTTTGGCGGGCGGATCGTTCGCACCTGCGGGTCAGAAAACCGGGTCGCGAAATTTCCCTCAGTCTAGGCCCATTTGACCAAGGTCCATGGGCTTTCATGGGCCTGCATGGAAACGTGAAGCACCGGGCCTCTTCCTTACCCGAACTCGTCCTTGCTATCGCGTTGACCATCAACGTCACCAATTCTTAGGGTTGAATCATTGACATATTATAATTTCTTTCTCCCGAACAAACATTCAAACTGAAAATTCCCCACAAAGGTTCTCTTTCTCGAAGTCAGCGCCTCACCGGCGGGCCGGCAGCTCTATGACTCGCCGCCGCCGTGGAAGCTCTATTAAGCAAACAAAAGAAAAGGGAAAAGAAAGCGAATCGGAATAAACATGTCGGCGCAATATCGACACGTACAAAATAATAATAGTAATAATACTACTAGTAAAGCTGCTGCTTCTGCCGGCGCCGCCGGTTCGGGAACGTCGAAATCGCCATTGTTATTAGCCCGTCACAACCCTTCAGGTAATTTCTTTTTTCCGAATTCCGATCTATTTCGGTGTAACAGTACTTCAAGTTGTAACGCCGACAAATGAACAGAAATTAGTCTTCGTTAGGTTTAGTTTCAGTTAAGAGATATGATCACATTTGGTACTGTTCATTGTATTACAAACTACAATTATAATGTTTTGATGTGATCGTCCTTTTCTGAGCAGTCTACTTCATTGAATAATATTCTTAGTTTGGAATGTGACTAGTATCCTTAATAATTTTAAGCAAGAATTATATACGCCCGCCAAGTGTATGACGATTTGACACAATGTAAAACGTGTTAGAATGCATTAAAAAATGTTGCTTTGCATCGATTTCTACAATGACTTTTGCATTGTCTTTTTGTGAATGTGGAATCTTGGTTGTGTAGGTTTGTTGCTCCAAGATACAGACTGCAACGTTGTGAATTCCAATTCTAATCGTAGCAAAGGCAATAACCATTCATTTGGTCGTCATGGTGCTACAACGAGTGTAAAGTCACCTCATGGTGATCCGCTTTTCAACATTGCTCCATCTCCCAACAACAAGATGAAGTCTCCACCATTGGTCTCACCGGAGGAGGAACCGTGCCAGCTGAACGGAGTTGGAGAAGACTACGTTGAATTCAACTACACCAACAATCGATTACCCTCATCATCGTCACAATCAGCATTGACAATGGATGCCGTGATCGGGAAGAAGTACCCTGTTTACGCCAGGGACATATCAAGAGGGGAAGAGAAGGTCAAAATCCCACTAGTGAACGAATTCAGTAGCAACATCCACCCCTTGAAGCTGCCCAACATTCTGTACATCAGCACCAACATGGTCCACAAGGATGCTCACATCGACTTCTCGCTGGCTCGCTTGTCCGACGACAACTGCTGCTCTAGCTGCGTCGGGGACTGCCTGTCGTCGGACTTGCCATGTGGGTGTGCTGCAGAGACGGGAGGCGAGTTTGCTTACACGCCTGGTGGGGTGCTAAAGGGGGAGTTCTTGGAGAAGTGTGTGATGATGAATAAGGAGCCTCAGAGGAAGCATTACTACTACTGTGAGGTTTGTCCATTGGTGAATGACTTGAGCCAGAAGGGGAAGAAGAAGGTGAAGGCTTGTAGAGGGCATTTGACTAGGAAGTTCATCAAGGAGTGTTGGAGCAAGTGTGGCTGCAGCAAGAGGTGCGGGAACAGAGTTGTCCAGAAAGGGATTCAAGTCCCTCTGCAGGTACGAGATCTTGTTGACTCTAGTTATATATCAAGGCATGGATGGTTTCTTTTCAAGTGATATTAGAATATTTGGGAAGCAAAAGATGTTGTTCTTGTGTTCGAATTAGCTTAACATTAACAACTAATTAATGATAGTAGTGGGTTTGTACAAACTATCAATAAAGTAATTCAAACTTTTGACAAGAAATTAAAGGGTTTTAAAATTCATTGGCATGAATTATCTATCACATGTTTACGTGAGGTGAGTATATTAAATCATTGTGTTTGTGTAACCAACGTGTTTCGTATTCGAATCACAATACTAAAGATTAACAGTTAATTTAAAATACATTTCCACAAATTTCAAGTCCAACAAGTTGACTTTGACATGGGATTACCATCCCTAAACTCTTAATAGCCACTTGAGTTATTGAGATTAATCACTTTCGGTCTCAGTAACTTTGTTAATGAACTTATGATATGTGGCCTATGCAAATATTTGCAGGTGTTTGCTACCTCTGAAGGGAAAGGATGGGGAGTAAGATCTGTGACTGCCCTGAAGAAAGGCACCTTCATCTGTGAGTACATTGGGGAGATAGTGACAAACCAGGAGCTGTATGAGAGGAACAAGGAGAGGGCTGCCAAGAAAGAAGAGCACACATATCCGGTGCTGTTGGATGCTGATTGGGGATCTGAGAGGATACTGAAAGATGAAGAGGCTCTTTGCTTGGATGCCACTGAGTTTGGCAATGTCGGCAGGTTTATCAACCACAGGTTAGAGGCAGACAGAAGTTTATTTGTTGCTATGGCGGTTTCTTCCCTCATGAAACTGTTAAATGTACACGTCAATTATCATGGTGTTCTAATGGTGATTGATGCAGATGTGGGGATTCCAACTTGATTGAGATTCCAGTGGAGGTGGAGTCACCAGATCATCACTATTATCACGTAAGTTGAATCAGTATTCTGCCTTAGTTGGTCTTAGGTGTTAACAATGTCAAGAAGGTTAATCGTTCAAATACTTTAGTTGTGTGGTTCAACCAATGCTTAGTCAATACACTGATGTTGACTCGCATGCTAAATATGTTCAAGTTTACCATGTGCATTAAGTTCAAAATGATGAATGTGTGATGGAAAATCAGCTGGAAATGAGAGTACTGAGAATCAGATTCATACACAAAATGAGCTTCCAATGCTTGTGATATCTGAACCGATCCAAAATGTGTTGATTAGATATGTCTGTAGTGCTCCAATAACAAATCGAAATGAAGGTTATAACTAAAGGATTAGAGTTGGATAGACTACAAATACACTCTTCTCCAATTGATGTTGCCTATGTGCATGTTGATACAGGTTGCATTTTTCACGGTCAGAGATGTGGAGGCAATGGAAGAGCTAACATGGGTAATTACCTCAACACCAATTACATATTGACTTGTTTCTTCCTTCAGGAGTAATGCTTGATGTGAATTGATTAGGGTTTTGGTGGGTTTTTGCAGGACTATGGGATCGAGTTTGATGACATCTACCATCCTATCAAGGCATTCAAGTGCAAATGTGGAAGCAAATATTGTCGGAACAAGCAAAAGATTCAACGATAAACTCTAAACATAGATATGGATTATAAGAAATTCTTCGTTTCAAACTAGTAGCATGGAAATAAAAGCATTTGATGACACATTGATGAAAAGGTGCCCATTGGAGTTATTATTTACTTTGTAGATTTATTGATTCTTTGGAATAAACCATTACTTTATGCTTCCCAAACTAAACCCCATAGGCACTAATATAAATTTAATCAATTTTTTAATCCAGTACTATCTATCACTAATAACAAATTACTTTTCGAGCGTTAGTGAAAATATTCGACATATTTCAAAGATTAGTATTGAGTGGATGGAAAATACAAAACTCTAAAATGCAAGTAAATAGTAATCTTAAAAATAAATATATTGAACCTTTTTAGTCATATTACATTACACTAAATTACATACCAATTAACGGGCTTGATGTTGATTAGTCTACCGTGGTAACCCATCAATTATGGAATCAAATATGATTGTGCGCAAGCAATTAATGAAAAAAATAACTAGGCATGCAATCCAACAACCTTAGCCTAGTTTAATGCCATTTCCTTCAATTCAACATCCTTAGTTTAGTACTCTAGTTTAAACTTGCTTCCTTTTATCGTATATTCACACAGGATGATTGTGTTTAAATGAGTAAATGAATGAAATAACGAGTAGTCTATTGTTAGTCCAACTTAACGCCATCTCCAAACTGTCTCCTAAATTTCAGTTTATGGTGAGCCACAAAAGATTTCAAATTTCGAAACCAGTCATAAAAAACTAAACGAACATGAATTCCTCCCATAAACATCTTCCCCTTGAAAAAAACCTTTAACAACAATACAATAATTGACTGGGGAAGAAGAAAAACAAGCCTGCCTCAGTCATTGGAAACACCATCCATCAGATATAAGATGGTGGCCTCGTGATAGGAAGAAGTCTTATTACAACGCTTAATTGCTTATAATATGAATAGAGTTAAAATATTGCTTCCTGTTAAAATTCTGTCCTATAATGTACTGCAAAAGGTGAACATGTTTGATGTCAAAACTATCAAACACATCCATCACCTTTCCCCTCAGTTACTGCTGCTCACAGCTCTTCGGGAATGCTATGAAGGGCCGGAATCCATGACCGGGGCGACGAAGCCTTGCAACCCTTTCCTCCATTCCCTCTCATTGCCTGCTTTCTCCTCAAAAGATTCAACCTTTGCTCCACATTGGACACATTGGAGGAAGACAGGCGTGGCAGTGGCGAAGAGGACGATGGCAATTTGCTAGCCTGCTTCTGCACCCCATCTCCCAAAAGCTCCAACATCTGCTTCAAGTCTTGCTTCTTGACCAGCACCTTCATCCTCACAACTCCTGGTCCACCACCTCCTTCCTGGCAAATGACAGCAGGGCCTCCACTGTTGGCTCTGGCAATAGATTCCAGCAGCTGCTGGTGGTTGCTCCTGCTGCTGTTCTTGTGGTTTCTGCCGCCTTTCATCGACCGAAGAAGATCTCTTTTCGGGGATCCCATCCTCCCTTCACCTGCAACAACATGATTGCCTCTCAGCTCCATTCTTGGTGGGTGTTTGTTTTTTTCTTGCTTTTCTTGATCACCTTAACTTCTGTTGGAAAATCAAATTGAATCAGTCATATTTATACGGAGAGGTAGGCTGATGAATCTCAACAAACTCAGAAAAAATAAAGTTAAAAAAGGGTTAAGTTGGGGCATCCTGAGAATCCAGGCAAGCAAATAATTGGCAGAGTTTTGACTTTGGATGGACAGATCACGTTAGCAGGAGAGGTGCTGAGCTTATAATAAATGAAAACACTGGTTCTTAGTCGGTTAGTTCAATCATACAAGGTAGATAGGGAAATGGTGTTCAAAATGGACAAGCAATCCCTCACATGCAGAGCCTAATGTTGCGGGGCAAGACGCGGCTAATAATAATATGGTGGTTGAGATAGAGAGAAGTTGATGAGTTCTCAACTTTGTTAGTTGAAAATTTATGTCAATGGGGTTGAGCTGTTTTCTAGCCTGTCATTCTAATCATTCCAGTTTTCTTCCTGCTAATCATAACTCTTAACTTCCACAGTCCCCATTATTGGATTGGTTTCTCTCATCATTGGAAGGCATTATTCCTCTTGCTTCTAAGGGACCTTGATCATAAAATGTAATGAAGAGACTCATATCAGGCTCAGAGCTTAAAGAAACAGAAAAAAAGGAAGAGACTGGATGTCAATTAGGCCTCTAAATCATTGGCTTCCCAAGCCATTTCTGAGGTTCCAAAAGTCAGCAATATTATTACATTAGCTTTCAGGGGAATTTCAGCACACAACTTATGGTATCTACACATATATCATACTGGTACAAGATAAGGATCTAGGGCTCATTCAATCATGAGAGCAAGAAGGCCCATTTTGGGTCCATCCTAATAGAAAGGCCAGATGACCAAACTTCATAAAAAATAAAGGAGGATATGTACAAAAGAAAGGAAAGAGAGTGAATACATACCAATGCAAAGAAGCTAAACTAACAGGGTGTCTAGCCTTGTTGGTCCCCTCGTCTCTCAATCACATCATTGGTTGTTCGATCCATGTTCATGAGAATGTCGATCACTTCGTAGCAAGCTGTTAAACACTTCCTACAACAACCTATTCCATGCTGAATTAATCACTGTTGTCGATGGTGTATGTGATGATCTTCGAACAAAGAAACCATCCCTACCAAAAAAAAGGTACTATCAATTTATACAATTCGATACTTACCAGTACACCTTAGTAATCCTTAAGAAAAAGGAACAAAGAAGTTTAAAACCACAAAGAGGAGCCTGACTGATATTCCGTGGAACCCTCTTTGATTATTTTCCTTGGACAGAAAAGAAGTGACAGAGACAGCGAGGGTTGTATTGTGAGATCCAAAAATAAGTACACTTATATTACCAAGGGAAAACATTAGCTGCCATATGAGCCCCAACTTTCACCAATGTTTTAATAAATTGGGGAATGAAAATAAATTTGTCAACTAACAGAAAAGACCTTGCTAGGAGTAGGATGTAAGAACTAAACATGTTATGTTACCACTTACCATACACAAGTTACAAGAAAGTTAATGTTGCCTCTTACAATGCTTTTGCTCCCCAAGTTGCCTCCATAGCCCTCTCTTTCATCATGGCTCACAGTTCCTGCACCACAGGAGTTGGAACACATTTCTGCCTGTCAGGGATGAAGACAAAGAAGATAATAAAGAAATCATACTTCTAATTAAAATAGATCAGAGGTGCCTTCACAAGTCACAAGCTCACATATGATATTTTACAACCCTTTCAGATCACAGCTAATAACCTCACGTTCTCCTGGATCTCCAAAAGTTCCCAATAGAATATCTCATACAAAGTTCACAACTTTAACTTTACTTTCCTCCTTAATGCGACTTCCCTTTTGCTAAAAAGAAAAGCAGGGTTCTTTTAGCATCTGCAAGTGCATATACCAGACGCAACCGAGCAGAAATGGTAGAAAAGTTGCAGTAGTCATATAAAGTGGGCTAAAATGAAAAGAAACAGCAAAGGTTGGATGATGATGCAAAAGACAGCTGAACTTTTACTAAAGTGTAAACATAAAAGGGCCACTTCACAAGGCAAGAGCTTACATACAGAACTGTGGCATGTGACCATTTCAACTCAAACTACTTCATAAACAAACAAATTGACCCAACACACGCTGTCGTTTAGGAAGTATAGAAAAATCAAGTTTCATATAACCGATGGAATATGGAACAGAAGTAAAGACAGAAGAACCCAACATTATTGTAATCCCTGAAATTGAATGGATCCACTAACTTTGTATACTTTGAGATCCACAAAGAATACAATATTCTGCAACATAACAACATGTCACGTGATAACAAAAGATCTTTGTATAATCTTCTTTCCTTCACAATATCAAGCTCAGTGTAAAGGTCCACTTCCAGGGGCTAACAGCTAAGCTATATACAGGTGAAAGGGTTCAATAATATGCATCAGATGCCACAAACTAGTTAATCTGTCATAAACACAGTTCATAAACACTTGATGAAAGAAACTTATTATCTGCCTCTGTCGACATCCAGATCCAACTCACATCCTAGGCAATATGTGCCCAACAACAATCTTGGGCATCAAATGCAACAACAGTATCCATGCACATTAAAGTGTATCACAGTCATACTGAATCATAAATGATCCCAAGGTTGTTCTGTCCACATCATACCTCTTGCTCTCATAAATATCAGAATATGCCCACCATGAAAACCGATGATTAATTCCTTGTGCTGTTGGCAATCTCCTTACAGCTGGGGAGTGATTGCACGAAAGCCATAAATGACTGTCCACGGGGTTGTGTGTTGTTTATACACAAAGGTTGAGGCTTTCTAAGTCTTCCTTTGTATACTTTGATTTTAGGCCTGACCAGCAGCCAACCAAGTAGGACCACAAATGAATCTGAAAAAAGAGCCCGCCATACAGCTATTGGGATCACATGCCATGGATTCAAGACAACAACTGAACACATCAGCTATATTCCAGCATCAATTTCAGCTGTAATCCACCAAGCTTGCAGATGGCCATACACAGACATTCAACCCGTTAAATCAAAGGCAAATAGATAATAAAAAAAAATGCAGGAAAATGTATGGAATATATGCTGCCTTCATAAATGCAGCAGAACCATCAAAGTCCGCGGAGAGGAACGAGGTAATGAAGAGGGATTAATGCACAGAACAGCAGAGACTTGTTGAGGTTTGAGGAACTTGAACAGATGGTTAAGAGTAGGTAATTTCTCCCACAAACTATCCTTCCTTCATGTTCTACAAAATAGAGTAAGATAAATACCAAACCCTATTTCAAGCCTGCTTGCCCATAACCAAAACACAACTGGTAGTCGCCCCCACTGCATTATACTAAAAGAGGTAACAAAGAAAGAGAAGCTAGTGAAACTAAATACACCAAAGACAGAGCAGTTGCTATCTGCCAACTAACACCAACAGCAAACAACAATAGAGACAAAAGGACCACAGCTAAAACCCAATAAGGCTTCAAAAGCTAAAACTAATATCTTGAAAATAGACAAAAGGAAGAAACAAAAGTTGTCAAATTATCTTCAGGACCCCAAAACACAGCTAATTTTGCATTGCAACAGCAGCAACCTCCATCCATGATCAAACCAAGCCAAACCCAAACCAGACGGAAGAATCAGACCACCACCCTTTTGATTTTTTTTCATTCAAGCCTCTGGCTTTTTGCAGACAATCATATGCATAGGAGTGAAGATACCAGTCTCTCCACCTCTAGTCAAGTAATCTGCAGTGTGGAACAGCATCTCATGAACATCCACCACACCTTTGGGGGCAATCCCTATCCAAGACAGCACAGTAACCAAAATGTGGTTCCTCCAGTAAGCAATTCTCCCCATCTTCAACCTCGACCACCATGGCCCTGCCGGCGGCCTCGCCAAATCCTTTTCCTGCACCACCTCAAACCCAACTTTCATCGCCGTCTCCGCGATATCATTGTACCTCCTAAGCCCGGGAAGCGCATCCCCTCTCTCAATCCCTTCAATTATCTCCACATGAACAGGATCCTCCGATTTGTACAAATCAGTGGTCACCCATTCGTACGAAACATACATCGATCCAGGCTTCAAAACCCTAAAAATCTCAGAATATACCTCTTCCAGCTTGGGGGCATGGCAGGTCGCCTCAATCGAATACGCCCCATCGAAGCTCGCATCCTCAAACGGCATCTTCAAGAAATTGCCGCAGACAACCTCGCAAAGCGAATCAAGCCCGGCCTTTCTGTTGTGGTCGCGGGCTCTTTTCACCTGATACTCGTTGATCGTGATCCCAACCACTTTCGCGCCGGAATGCGCCGCAATCGCGCGCATTGGGCCGCCGACTCCGCACCCAGCGTCGAGGATTCGGCTCCCGGGCTTGACTTTGAGCTGATCGACGGCGAATTCCTCGTGGAGGCGGGTGGTGTCACGGTGAGATTTCCCCGGCAAGGAAGGCGAGAAGTGGAACGATTGGCCCCAACCCCATTCGTAGATGTCGGTGACGAGATTGTAGAAAGTGTCTACAAAGGCGGGGACTTTGTCGGCGGTTTCGATTTGGGAAGGGGTGCGGAAGAAGGACCAGTACTGCTGGTACTTGTCCTGGACTTTCTCGGCGGAGATCGAGCCGCCGGAGAGCTGGGCGGCGTGCTTGCCCTTCTGCTCGGCGGAGCCCAGGAGGCAGACGAACCAGTAGAGTCCGCCGAGGAGGCAGATTGAGAGGGAGAGAAGGATTGTGAAAGTTTCCATTGCAGGGGAATGGAAGGGAAGAGGCAGGGGAAGAAGGGGAAAGGGGTTTTTGAGAGAGTGTGAAGGGTGAGCAGCAGGAGAGTGTGTGGGAGTGTGGACACTGGCGATTCCTTTTTATTGATGGTTTTTTAAACGGCAGATTTAACTTTCTGGGGTTCCTTTATTTTAATTTAATTAGGGTTTTCTTATGGCCGGCTGCCAGTTTTCAGGTTCCTTTATTTATTTATTTATTAAAAAAAATATGCATAAATATCATTTGAGATTTATCGCTAGTCCAAAATCAAATTGAATTTGGATTGAATCAAATAAAGAAAAGATGTGTCCAACATTTAATGAGAATCAACTTCTTATGAGGGACAAGTTCGATCACGATAATCGTTGGAGTTGTTGTACCAACTAAAACATAAACATTGAATTGGCGAGTCACTATCTCTTACATATAAAAGGTGTGCAGACTGTCAATCAGTTAGGAGTTTGGAAATTTTCATAGAGTCGCCCGCGCCTTCCTGTATTAGCTAATAGGCAAACTAAATATATGAATAATCTCTCTGACATTCATAGTCAGATAAGGTAAACTGAACGTCTGAATAATCTCTCCATCAAACATCTACATACTAACAACCATGGCCACATAAATTGTTGCATTGCAACACAACCAACCACTCTTACATGAAGGAGAGGACAGCTAAACCCCCAATTTGCATCCCATTTGTTTGTTTCTGCCTTCTGGCATTATTATTATTTTTTTGCCTCTATTTTGTTATTTTATTATTTTATGGACTGATTTTTTGCTGGTTGTCTTTTGGGATCTGCCACGTCAGTTTCCCAGAGACAGAAGAACACATACAAGAGAGACAAGTGGAGTTTCCGTTAGAATGGGTCAGATATCAGATTTGTCCAAAGCCAAAGAAGCTACAAGGTTAGGTGAGTCAAGTCTGAGTAGCTGACCGAGTGAGATTATTACTGTTGCTCCTTCGGTGGGCTTGGGCCACAGAACTAGAATGGGCTTGGCTGGGGTTCCTTTCAACTTCAGCTTCCCTAATTGGGCTGCACCCGCGAATTAATATATGGGCCTGAAAGGAACAGCTAAGTACGACGCGCTGGCCCAGAATGGCTTGGTGGAGTGGTGGTCCAGGTCCAATATAGTAATATACTTGGTCGGTAACCGAAAGGGGCCCTCAGTTTGCTTGTAAGTTGGCACTTTGCACTGCGCGTGCTAAGTGATGGGGTCAGTGTTTAAAGTCAAAAATGTCGTTTTTAGTGTTCACGATTATGCATGGTTAGTTCTTGTTCGAGGACAAACCGTAATTGAATCGACTGGGGAAAATGTTATTTGGTAATGAAGTCGTAACTAAAGTTTGAATTATATATATGTATGTATTGTTGTCTATATGGTTTGAATCGATGCATCGGTCCGATCCACTCGATGAGAATGAAAAATTGAAAGATTTCCTTAGCTGATGTATGAGCAATTTATAATTTTATATCGATACAGTCCAAATTAAACTCATTAGTTGAACTAAATCTCAGCTCACATTACTCACATTAGTTTCCGAACGATTCGGACGAATCCACAGCAGCGGAGCTATCTATAACCATTGTGGTGGGTTGTACCCTCTCCCCTTCTCAAATGTGTGATTTGTAGGTCATAAACCCTAAACAAACATTAAAAATGGGTCATCTGTTTGCCACTATGATCCAAAAGTCTGTGTCATATTTCTAGATCACTCGCTCTAAATTTTTGTTTAACTACTGAAAAAGAATACACAACAAACCAAATCATCGGTTGATTCGTTGTTTGAAACTTCAGAGACATGGATAAAAAAACAAAAAAAAAACTTATATAGCAAGTAATCTATTAGTAGCCCTACCATTTAATAGACCTTTGTTATTGACCTCACAATTAGTTGCCCAAATACTTTTTGGGAAACAACTTTTTTTTCTCTCTCTTTTGTGGATTCCAAATATCCCAATCCTTGATCAGTGCCCAGCGGCCAGCACTAGCAGCGCATGTAATGTAAGTGTGACATCAATACTCCCTTTTCATCGTCACCCCTCCACTTAGTCGATTAAGCAATAAGGTCAATTTCACAATACATACAACCTTTGAAGCAAAGTATCATCATATCATGTCCTTAATGAGTTGAATTATCATTGGCTTCTCAAATCTCAATCCAACATATCCTTTGATTTTTATCCAAATCACCATCATCACCGCCCTCGATCTTTTACTTTTCATCCAAAAATAGCATATCAGATCGATTTAACATTACTATAATCTTTTCTAACTAATTAACCGAAAATATCTATTAAATTAAATCCATTAGGATTGAAAAGATTTTTGGGTCATGGCCACGCGTAAAGAGACTCAATTAGAGCTCAAGACAAACCAAAAAGAACTAGATAAAATACTAGAAATCCTTAATATCGTCTCTCTTTCTTTTCCTACAAAAGGGTATTCTCGATCTCTCAAAGACTCTCTCCCCATTCTCCAACCTTTTAGATCTCCTCTTCACCCAAAAAAGACTAATTAAACCTGAATTAGAGCCCGTTCTCAAGTATTGTTCTAAGTTGGATTCAACCTTCTCTGACTTTAGCAAGTAGTGTGAATAGCACATGAGTGACAGCGGAGCTTGCTAAAACTAGGGGTACCTGCATACTAACCATCAACGACTTTATCTCGGTGTAGTGCCCGGCGTTGTGCTACCGTTATCGGGAGACTTCGTCTCCAATACCAAGGGTGCCTTCGGGAACACCAAGAAGGTGGTACTGGGATTCGAACCAGCTGGAACCTTGTCACATCCCAAACTCAAAACCCAACCTTTTTACCAACCAGGCTATCTTACCATCAGCTTAATTTGTAGATATGTACTAGTGATATTTCAAGCAAATGGAAAAAGAAGGGAAAAAAAAAAGTTTCTTTATCTCCTCATCACATCTCCTTGCTTTGCATATGCAACAACAATCGACATGATCTGATGATCACCAATTCACCATGTCCCTTTCATTAGCGACTAAATAAAGAGGTGAAAGAAGAAGAGACCTGGAACCAACGTAACTGATGATTCTTCTTCCACCGCACCACTCCACTCCACTCTCTCTCTCCCCTCTTTCTTTTGTCTCCCTTAAAACAAAAGCAAAACCCTATCACCACAAATAAATGAAATAATATAAATGAACACACTTTGATCTTCGAAAGAACACTCTTCTTTCCTTCACTTCGTATAGCTAAGATATTATATAGATGGAGGAGCTGGCGGAGCTGGGCCACCTGTTCATGACGGTGTTCCTGTCGACGCTGTCGGCGATCATGGTGGTTCCGGCGATCACCGACGTCACCATGGAGGCGCTCTGCCCCGGCGTCGACGAGTGCTCCCTCGCCATCTACCTCTCCGGTTTCCAACAAGCTGTACGTATGTAACTATGTATATATATGCGCGTTTAATTCATTATCTTAATTAGTGTTGGTCGCTAAAAATGAAGTAATTGGTTTCGGTCGCTAAAAAGTTTTGATCCGCTCGATCGGCCGGAGAATGTTCTCCCATATGGAGATGGTAGTTTATTATAAAAATTTTAACACCTTAATTATTTAAAGATCAAATGAACCATTTTTGGATTAAGAGGATAGGGGATTACCGGGTACTATCGTAATTAACTAATGATTAATATAATTAACCTCCCTGACTGAAACAACTAGGCAACCCACTTTGGGAGTTTGGGTAAATTAGTTTAGGTTTCATGTGGGGCATAGAACTTATCAACAAAATATGATATGACGACAACAAGCAGGAAAACGACGTCGAAGAGTAAGAAAAAAAAGAAAGCAAAAGGTGTTGTTGTATATTTCACATATATTCTTTAGCATTTGTTTCGTCGCGCTGACTATACCCTATCCAAAACAACTATTGTCGAGACGAATTCGATGAATCGAAGTACGCCTTGCGTCTTAACATTCATTCATTTTTTTGTTCCTTTAAATTTTTTGTGATATTTTTTTTCCTATATATTTAACATCAATCCTAGTAAATTTGAAATGGGACATTTAGTCAAGTAGTAAAATCAAGGGTGATATGCTTGCTGTCAGTGACGGAGCTATGTATGTCTTACGTTGACAACATGAGAGAGATTATAAACTCGGTCGCTGAATATCACAATAAATTTTTATTTCTAATTTGCTTACTAAAAATTCTGGCTCGACTGCTGTTTGTTTGTCGTGCAGGTGATAGGAGTGGGGACGGTGGTGATGATGCCACTAATTGGGAATTTGTCGGACAGATATGGGCGCAAAGCTTTGCTCACTTTCCCCATCACCATCTCCATCATTCCTCTCGGTACAACTCTCTCCAAAACCCTAATTTGTTATTTCATTTGTTTTGTTTCATCGACATACATTCATTTTTCATTTGTTTGTTTGGTAACGTCGACATATTCGTTCATTCTTCTACTACACTTCTTGTCCTCTTTTGCTTCCACCGGTTGAACCGAAGAGATCCTAACTTGACCTACCAAAAGTTAAAAATGGGGCCAAAGGAAGAGAGAGAGACATTCTTGTTTGTTCCTCATATCATCAATAATTCAACGATATCCAAATCTAGCTTCCAAACCATACCGACATCAGGATGGTTTATTTCTTTAGCTTGGGTTGTGTGCAAAGGTTTCGGCTCGTACCGGACCGAATTGGTATTTAGATCGGTTTAAATGGGTTCAATATGATACGTAAGAAAAAAGAGATTAAACCGATCTTTGAGCCTGATTAAATAGGTCCAAATCTTCCTTTTACTATTGGACCGGTCGGACCGGATTGTTGCACAACTCTACTTGCCTGCTATATAGGGATGGCAATGGGTTGGGTTGGGGCGGGTTTTGTCAAACCCAAACCCATGGGTTTGTCCGCCAAAAAAACCCGGGGTATAACCCGTTGGGTTTGAAAAACTCAAACCCAACCCAACCCGTTGGGTATCCGCGGGTTCATGGGTACCCGTGGGTTTTCGTTGTAAAAATTTTACAATAACAAGTTTCTTTCAAAATAAAAGTTTAACATCAATTTTCTCATACAAATTAATCATTCAAAAAACACCAATCTAGAGCATACAAGCAAACCGCAAATGATCAATACAAATTGTTCAAAATTAAAGATAAACATCTATAAGCAATAAGATTAATTGAAAGCTTCTTCCTCGTCAACTAAGTTTCTTCACTCTCCACTTGATAATATCAACTTCATTCTAAACAATTAGAAAGAACAAATTATACATGTCTCCACAAACATAAAGAATATTAGTTGTTTAAGGAAGATATATTATTTAGAATATTAAATATACCGGGAAAATAATTATATGTGTGTGGGCGGGTACCCATGGGGCGGGTTTACCTAAACCCAAACCCAACCCGACCCGATGAATAGTGTAGCGGGTTTAAACCCGAACCCGGCCCAAAACCCGTCAACATGGGTTTTACCCGCGTTGACCAGATTGGATCGGGTGGGTACCCGTGGGTTTGAGTTTTGTTGCCATCCCTACTGCTATATGGGTCATCCTCCCTTGATTTGGCCCAAAGGTAATAAACAAAGATCTACAATTGAAAGCCCATAAGGAAAGGCTGAAGCTAAGCTCGGCGGAAGCCCATATAAATATATATGGGCCCATTATTATCATAATAAAAGCAGTCAAAAAGCCCAATAAGGAAATGAAAGAGAGATTTGCGCTTGTCTTTCTTTCCTTTTTGCCTTTTGGGTGTAAAATCTTAATATTTTGCTATTTTGCAGCAACACTGGCATATAGCAGATCAACAGAGTTCTTCTATGCCTACTACATTCTCAGGACACTCACTGCCATGCTCTCTGAAGGCAGCACCAATTGCCTTGCTCTTGCCTATGTGGTAAGCTAATTTCCTCCCAAATAATTAACACTGATTCAATACCATTTTAACTATAAATTAACCACCACTGAAAATGGTTTTGCAGGCAGACAACATCTCAGAATCCAAAAGGACATCAGCATTTGGGATCCTAGCTGGTGTTGGCTCGGCTGCTTTCGTGTTTGGGACCTTAGCTGCTCGCTTCCTCTCCACCGCGCTAGCTTTCCAGGTTGCTGCAGTTCTGTCCATGGTTGCAGCTGTGTACATGAGAGTCTTTCTCAAGGACAAGCTGTCTGAAACAGGACACCTCCTAGCACAGCCAATCTTGAAGCAAATAGTCTCGAACGACGATGAGGTTGGTGATGGTGAAAGTTGTGTTCTGACCAACAAGGTGGCATTCAAGGCATTTCCATCCGTTGGTGACCTTGTTTCCTTGCTTAGGACCAGGTTGAACACCTTTTTTTCCCTCTAATTTGGTCCATATAGCTCCATCCATGGGTTTTTCTGCAAGGTTGTGACTTTGAAATTTTGTGCAGTGTGACATTTTCTCAGGCAGCAATAGTCACATTCTTCAACAGTCTTGCTGAAGGTGGACTCCAAGCTGCCATGATGGTAATTGTAACTAACAACATTGCCTAATCATCTTTGTGTGAACCAGAATTTTGTCAGATGAATGATGATTCTTCAATGACCATGTTTTTGCAGTACTATTTGAAGGCGCGATTTCAGTTCAGCAAGAACCAGTATGCTGATCTAATGCTCATTGTGGGTCTTGCAGGAATGTTGTCTCAAGTAAGTATGCATTACAGTTAGCTAATGTTCCTCAACTACGTACTTACCTCCCTTTCTGTTTCGATCTCTTTGATTCACCATTGTATCTTACCTTGTGGAATGGTGACACCACAACAGCTTGTTCTGATGCCATTGCTGGCGCCTTTCGTAGCAGAACAGAAGCTGCTTTCACTTGGCCTGCTGGTAGGCTGTGCAAATGTATGAACCCACCTTACATGTTTGCTTTTTTCATTACATAACATTCATAAATGAACAGACCACTTGTTTCACTAATTCTGATATGCTGTGATTATCTATATATCTACCTGCAGACTGTTGTTCTGAGTGTCGCTTGGTCGAACTGGGTGAGAATCAATCAAACAAAACCCTTTAGTCTTCTTCTAGCTATAGTTAACAGATTTCTTTCATGAATTGGTATCCATTCAGGTTCCATATGCAACAGCAGTATTCACTGTAGTTGTAGTTCTTGTAACTCCTTGTGTAAGTCCTTCCTACCTTCCCTTCCCCATCTTCCTCTCAATCTTCTTCTGCAGCCAGATGGTGCATTCCAATCTTACTTCTCATGTTTCGCGCAGCTTCGTAGCATCGCGTCGAAGCAAGTTGGATCGAGTGAGCAGGGGAAGGCTCAGGGTTGCCTTTCAGGGATAGGTTCCATTGGCAGCATCATATCTCCATTGCTCTTTAGCCCTTTGACAGCTATGTTCCTCTCAGAAAAACCACCATTTGACTTCCCTGGATTCAGCATTCTGTGCATCGGATTCATGACGGTAAATTCATTCATACATACTATATGGCTAACAAGTAACATCAATCCGATTTTCTAGGCTAATTAACTGCTCATCCATTCTTATCGATTGGTTGATGATGATTTGGTGGGAAATCCTACCATGTTTTTTTTGCAGATGATTGCCTTCATTCAAAGTCTTATGATAACTGCAGATCATCATCATCATCAGATCCCAACTCACAAGATCGACTGTAGTGACCGCCTGGAGGCCTCTAGTTGTGATCACTTGAGATAGAGCTGAGCTAGTAGTAGCTATGATAATGATCCATCAGTTAATTTAATATGTACACTTTGTAAAATGTGTTATCGCATGTATATATAGTATAGCTCATATAAACGTACATATGGTAAACCCTTATGTATAGTATCCTATCTGGTGTATTTCGAACAACTTCGAACTATCAGAACTGTTAATTATTTTTTTATTAAATTAATTTTGGAGTTTGCGTTTAAAGAATTAGGTCGTAGACTTCACCTTTTAGAAATTCAGGGATAGTGCCATATATTCATGATTTGGATAGCATCATCTCACTAAGAGTTTTGTATACTTCATGAGTATATATTGGAGTTAATACCTTATTTTGGCCCTAACTATGACCATATAATCAACTTTGGCATGTGGTTTGAGAAATTAACATCCTGACCCGAACTTTGTAGCATAAATACTCATTTGGCCCGGATCATGGTTTGACCGTTTATTTGGACGGTCAACACTGTTGACCGTTAGTCAACTGTCCAGGTCATCGCCATGTCAGCAACCAAAGAAATAAAAAATTCGAAATTTAATTTTCTTTCTTATTTCCTTTACCTAATTAAAAAAACGGGGAAAAAAACAAAATCTGTCAACCACCCATCGCCCCCTTATTTGAATCGGCTGGCTCCCCTCTCTCGTCAAAACCCTAACCACTTATTCTCCCTTCTTTTTCGGTGACCCGCCGCTTCCATATCCCAAACCAAAATCGCAGCTCTTTTCTTCCTCTTCCATCAGACTCAGACTCCTAAGGGGTCAATTTGAGACCAAAATCCATCCAACCCGCCCATTGTCCACCCTTACACAAATTACCATTCGAGTTTAATACATTGGGCTTCGCCCCTACTTCCGGTTACGAGGCTCTTAGGGCTGTTATGTGTTACTAGCTAGCCCAATTATGTAGGCCTGCTTCGTACTTTATTAAGGCCCAGCCTCATTCGGCCTTCGGCTTGTTCACTCTTTTGCTCATCTAATTCCCATTAATACGTTCTATAAAAAAAAAAAAAAAATTCCCATTAATACGAGGGTGATGGTCGTCCTTCTCGTTTTTCAGGAGACACCCCTATTTAACCAAAATTATTACAGAACTCCCAAAATAAATATATATATAAATAAATACAATGAGACTAAAAATATATAATTTTAGAAAACAAGTACGGTAAACGGGAGGCTGAAATAGGGGATTCGGCGATGTCAAACCTTTGACTTCTTACCACGTCATAAAAATTATCTATGTCATTTAACACTTTGTCAAATTATCTATTTCATATACAATGTAATTGTGAACAATTGATTCTTGACAACACTGATAATTTTTAGAGTCCGATGGTGTTTAAGTTGAAAGGAGGAGATGGAGGGGGGGTTCAGTTAGGGACAGAGATCGATGAAATGCTCGCCTCAATGCCTCGTTAGCAAGGTTGTCAACCTTGCTCGTTATTTAGTGAAAACAATAATATTTCGTTAAATTTAAAGTCCTATTGAATGCATGATTAGTGATCTATTTGTAAGTGATTCCAATCAATATCGATAAAATTTTATCTAGCGATTTTATGCGGTTACTAATTAATTATCTACAAACTTAGCAAACGAAAAAGGAGCCTAGCTAATCCCCTCGCGTTAATCGGATTTTATCGATGAAAAATCTTCAATAAATGAAAGCTGACAGTAGCAAATCGAATCAATTTCTACAAGCGAATACATTGATGAGAACTAATTTTCTCCTTCGACTATCGTTACCATAAAAATTTAATGATTTCCTCTAATAGTTTGCACTTCTCTTATCCATCTTGATAAACTAGAATCTAGAAAGTAGTAGATAGAACTAACTTATATAGTTTTGTTGTGGTTTTATGATAGAACATTCGACGATTTACATTGAAAGCAAGGATTTAACATACTAATATTATTAATTTTTTTGCGCTTTTCTCCAAATCTAAGGAGATGCCGTGAAACCCCCATTATTTATTTGCCTCTAGCTCCGCCCCTGAATTAATGATGACCATGTTTTCTGGTTAGTCGTCTGAGATAGAGAGCGGATTTTAATTTCATTTCCGGCTAGGCGGCTGATTGACCTAACTTATTTAGCATCCGTGAATAGATACTTCAAACACCGGAAAATTTATTACGATCCACAGGCGGCAGCAAAGCTGAAAGCGGTAGATGTATCGAACTGCGACCTGACAAAACCTCCCGACTTGTCTACATGCACAGGCCTCGAGTTTATAGACTTTACAAATTGTCACATAAAAGGACAGATTCTCATTGGCAAATTCGAGAATCTGAAAACGTTGAGACTCAAAAATACAGGCATAAGTGCATAACAGAGTTAATCATTAGGGGTAGTGACACTGGAAAGCTTCGACGGTTGGAGGTGATGGACGTGGAAGGGACCAATTTGAGAGAATTGCCCTCCGGGATGGAAAACTTGTGCTCGCTCAAAATCCTGTCCTTATGCTACTATCATTGGCGCCATTTGCAGGTTGATTGCGCAAGGGTGGGTAGTCCGCGACTAGTCCATACGCATCGCGAAGGGAAAAGAGTCGCGGACTAGCTGTCGAAGCACAGTCTCGTCTATCCCATCGGTACGCATGAGCTACAAAACCCCCCGCCAGAGCTAGACAGACTTCTCAACGATGATGTGCTGGGAATTAGCTTCCCTCGGCAGGTGCTGCACCTCCCTCTTAATAAAAAAATATTTATCTTGTAACTCATCGTACAAGACAAATTTATGGTGTAAACAATACTAATGCTGGATCAATTTCCACTTCTATATACCGTCATAAATCAAAGGGCTAATACCACTAGGAAACCCGAACTATATATTGAGAATGTGTCATAATATCCAATATGACATTTGTGCTCTAAACTATTTTTCCTTTAGAGTAGACCGACGTTGATCGTTAGTATTTAACAAATGACAAATTCTTAATAGTTAGGGTTAGGACATAAATGACACAAAAATATAATAGGTTGGGACATAAATGACACAAAACTATAATAGATTGGGACACAAATGACACATTTTTAATAGTTCGAATTTCCTAGTGGTATTAGCCCTAAATTAAAACAATAAGTTAATGAACAGATAATGATGGAAACACCCTCTGGGGTTTGTAATATGAATATGAACATATGTAGGAGCTGATTGATCGGTTTCTGTTGTCTCCTTGTAGGAATACGACCCCACGTTTTCTTACAATATAATTATCAATCCTTTAAGAGTTAAATATCTTCAGACTTCAGTACGTAGGGCAAGCACTGGCCAGACCTAATAATCACAGAAGTAGATCTGATATACACGAGATTCACATATATATAAATGATACTGATTGAGTGGGACACAAGTATATAAATGATATTGAATCTGAAGAAGAAGTTCCACGAGTTCATAGTGTTGAGACCATGCAGCTCAATTAGTACGATATTGTCCGCTTTGAGCAAATTCGCACGATTTTACTTTTGAGTATCCTCGTCAAAAGGCTTCGTACTAATTTGATGAGTTAATTACAATATAAAAAGGACAATGATTGCATATAAATTCCATCCTAATTTGTCTGAATTATGATTGGTCAAACTTGACAATCAACGAGAGAAATTGCTCTGTTGTAAAGGTTATAATGAGGGGCTAAAATGTTCCGGTGGTGATTGACTTTTACCAGCAAAAACTAACGAGACGAAGTTTCCCGTCGTTAATAACCTTTTGCTATGGTTTTTGGACTATAATAAAAAATATATATTAATATTAATGTGACAACACAAAGCCATTCATTCCAGACAGACAACCACAAATTAATTGAAGAAAACACAGCTTGACTAAATGACTTATTGTAAAGTATTTCCATTATCATGAAAATAACTTTGAGAAACCACAAAGAGGGCCTGAGGACAAAAGCGAATCCACTGATTAAGAGGGGAATATATGACATAATTTTATTTTTTTACATAATTTCATATTAATTACTTTGTCTTGGAAAGCAGAGTAGGCTCATATTTCAGCCTTGTCGACGGAGATAGGAGAAGCAGCACCAATATCGTCATCGTCGGTTTCAGTCCTCTTGTCAAAGAGGCCGCCCTAACCTATGAGGCCCTCATCGTCACCGGCGGTTTCCGCCCTCTTGCCAAAGAGGCCGCCCTAAATTATGAGGCCCCCACCGTCACTGTCGGTTTCAGCCCTCTTGCCAAAGAGGCCGCCCTGAATTATGAGGCCCCCACCATCACCGTCGGTTTCAGCGTCACTGTCGATTTCAGCACTCTTGCCAAAGAGGCCGCCCTGAATTATGAGGCCCCCATTGTCACCGTTGATTTCAGCTTTCTTGCCAAAGAGGCCTCCCTGAATTATGAGGCCCCCATTGTCACCGTCGATTTCAGCCTTCTTGCCAAAGAGGCCGCCCTGAATTATGAGGCCCCCGCTGTCACCGTCGATTTCAGCCCTCTTGCCAAAGAGGCCGCCCTGAATTATGAGGCCCCCATTGTCACCGTCGATTTAAGCCCTCTTGCCAAAGAGGCCGCCCTGAATTATGAGGCCCCCGCTGTCACCGTCGATTTCAGCCCTCTTGCCAAAGAGGCCGCCCTGAATTATGAGGCCCCCATTGTCACCGTCGATTTCAGCCCTCTTGCCAAAGAGGCCGCCCTGAATTATGAGGCCCCCGCTGTCACCGTCGATTTCAGCCCTCTTGCCAAAGAGGCCGCCCTGAATTATGAGGCCCCCACTGTCACCGTCGATTTCAGCCTTCTTGCCAAAGAGGCCGCCCTGAATTATGAGGCCCCCATTGTCACCGTCGATTTCAGCCCTCTTGCCAAAGAGGCCGCCCTGAATTATGAGGCCCCCGCTGTCACCGTCGATTTCAGCACTCTTGCCAAAGAGGCCGCCCTGAATTATGAGGCCCCCATTGTCACCGTTGATTTCAGCTTTCTTGCCAAAGAGGCCTCCCTGAATTATGAGGCCCCCATTGTCACCGTCGATTTCAGCCTTCTTGCCAAAGAGGCCGCCCTGAATTATGAGGCCCCCGCTGTCACCGTCGATTTCAGCCCTCTTGCCAAAGAGGCCGCCCTGAATTATGAGGCCCCCATTGTCACCGTCAATTTAAGCCCTCTTGCCAAAGAGGCCGCCCTGAATTATGAGGCCCCCGCTGTCACCGTCGATTTCAGCCCTCTTGCCAAAGAGGCCGCCCTGAATTATGAGGCCCCCACTGTCACCGTCGATTTCAGCCCTCTTGCCAAAGAGGCCGCCCTGAATTATGAGGCCCCCGCTGTCACCGTCGATTTCAGCCCTCTTGCCAAAGA